CGTTCGTTCGTTCGTTCGTTCGTTCGTTCGTTCGTTCGTTTGTTCATTCGTTCGTTTGCTGTCCTAGCACCAGAACAGGTGATCAAAGAAGAAAAAAGAGGAATTGACAGAGACAAGAAGTTTTCACTTCAGCTTTGTTTATAGTTTTTTGAGAAGAAGAAAAAGGAGTGAGGACTCTGCAGAGAGAGAGGAAGATGTTTTAAGATACTGTAACTGCTCTGACATCCAGATTTTCAAGAGGCATGGTTAAAAGAGAGCAATCTTAAAATGTCCTCCTCACTATCTGCCAAGTTTTTGGTGGTTTTTGTTCCCTATGGACACCTTGCTATCCTAGTAATAAATTAGCAAGCCTTTGTTCATAGGCATCCTTCAGTCTCGAGAGACTATGGTAGCATGCTCTGTATGGAGGACTTGGAACAGTGTCTAGTGTTTTGACGCTGTACGCAAAGCTGGAGTGTCCTCTCTAGAGCATGAAGCCTGGGTAAAATAATATTAAAGCAAGCCTTTAAAAGAAAAAGAAATGGGAAGAAGCAGGAAGATAAAAGAAGGCCCAGGCAGTTGGTGGCGGGAGGAGCAGATTCAAATGTCAGCCAGTTTCCACACTGCCCTACGTTTCTCACTGCTGTTGGAGTTGGCTGGAATGGCTTTAAATACAATGGCTACAAGCCTCTCCACATCAGCTCAAGCAATTACATTGCATGAGCCGATGCAAATGCATTTGAATCCAAAAAGGAAGAAGCCCTAACAGCACAGGAAATAAGTATGAATTAGAGGTGAAAAACTCCAGGCTGATGCACATTGATTTGTATGTTACCGTGTTTCCCCGAAAGTAAGACTGGGTCCTTATATTATTTTTTGCTCCAAAAATGCATTAGGACTCATTTTCAGGGCATATTTTATTTTACAATCCTGTCATCTTCTTCTGGTTGCTGTGCAATGGTGGAGGACGGAGTTTCACTTAACTGGAGCTTATTTGTGGGGTAGGGCTTATGTTATGAGCATCCTGAAAAATCATACTAGGGCTTATTTTCAGGTTAGGTCGTATTTTCCGGGAAACAGGGTATATACTCAATGGAAAATAATGTCAAACTATATTTTATTTTAAAATCCTGTCATCTTCTTCTGGTTGCTGTGCAATGGTGGAGGACGGAGTTTCACTTAACTGGAGCTTATTTGTGGGGTAGGGCTTATGTTATGAGCATCCTGAAAAATCATACTAGGGCTTATTTTCAGGTTAGGTCGTATTTTCCGGGAAACAGGGTATATACTCAATGGAAAATAATGTCAAACTATTCCCAGTCCTGGACTATTTCCTGCATTATTTGTCAGTGTTTAGTTGTTTAGTCGTGTCCAACTGTTTTGCATTATTTGTCAGTGTTTTGTTGTTTAGTTGTTTAGTTGTGTCCAACTGTTCGTGACCCTATGGACCAGAGCACGCCAGGCCCTCCTGTCTTCCACTGCCCCCTGGAGTTTGGTCAAATTCATGTTGGTAGCTCCGGTGACACTGTCCAACCATCTCGTCCTCTGTCGTCCAACCATCTCATCTTCTGTCATCCCCTTCTCCTCTTGCCTTCGCACTTTCCCCACATCAGGGGCTTTTCCAGGGAATCTTCTCTTCTCATGAGATGGCCAAAGTATTGGAGCCTCAGCTTCACCCATGATACCAGTATTGCACCCATTTGTCAATGTAGTCACACCCTAACTCTGAAGAACTTACTCTTCTTGGGGGCGAGGCAAGGCTGGGCCTGTCCCATTCCCTATCTGGCAAGAAGTTATGGGCCCATCCACACCGAGCATTTGTTCAGCTTTTCTTGCACCCATGATACCAGTATTGCACCCTTGAGGCTGAACCTAGTATCAAAAGAGTGAAAGTAGGGCAACCCCTTTATTTTCTAGGGTTTTTTTTAACCCACTGTTTGAGTGGTGGTGCATTGTTTGCTCTGCTTTGCTATTACTGTATTTGTCTCCCGTGCAGGATCTGGTCATGTAGACCAGAGTACCACATCCTGATCCATCCACTTTATAGGTGTATGTCATTTGAAGATGTTATTCTCCTGGTCAGTCCTCCTCACTCCTCCCCATGCCTTATTGCTGCTTTTGTTTGGTCCTGCACACAAAAGTGAATGCTAAAAAATGAAAATTAAATTAGAAAGCATGGTGGCCAAAATGTGATGGCTTGAGAGTGGTGAGTGGGTAAATCAGAAGGGAATGGAGGAGAGAGTGAAGTAGTTAGGGAGAGGGCAGAGAAAATGGGTAAAAGGAGAGGGCAATCTTTGTTGGGAGTGAGACGCCAGGGAACAATTATGAATGAATGCAAACAGTGCCAGGTCCATCCTATTACACCCTTCCCCCTGTGTGGATACCCCCTACTGGAATGCTCTACTCAAATCTGAAGGAAAATCAAAACCAAAAACCAAAACAGAATGACTTGGAGCAACCACCAGGACAACCAGGGACAACTCCACGGTGTGGGCAACAGGAAGTAGTTTGTTGGGTGCCAAATTCAAACAAAGAAATCCTCCTCCAATTATTGGTGTTAAAAAACCGAGGGTGGTGGGGATGGTATATATCTTTTTGATATTTCCTTCTGTTCTAGCTGTGATCATCTCAAAGCTTTTCATTGGTAGAAGTGAAATCTTAGGGGGAAAAGTATGATGCTTTCAAAAATTAATACACAGGATTATGATTAGTCTCTCATCCAGCTTTCTCCAGATCAGAGGCAATCTGCAAAGAGTCTTTTCTGGATGGTGAATACATGCACCACCTCATTCTTTGCAGGTCTTGCTTGTCAAAGGCCATATAATCCCAGTGAGGGTGAAGTTCTTCATCTGAGACATTTCTGAAGAAGTTCTGCTCAGTAAAATAGCAGCAACATGATTTCTCCCTGCCCGAACATCCCTTTTAATGTGAGTTTTCCTATTGTGGCCTTGTCTCTACCTCTTTCCCACCTCAGGGTTTTATCAAGGCAAAGAACTATCCACCCAGCACCTCTGTGGAGACTGAAAATGATGGTTCAGAATCAGCCCTGTTTAGGCAGCTCTTTCAGAAATGGACTGTCTCACATCAAACTACTGGTTTTGGCAAGGTCAATACCATCGGAAAAGTAGGTGAGTGCTGGAGACTATGAATAATGATTGGCCAGAGGCAGGAATGCACCTCACAGAGGAACAGTCAGAGAGGGGTGTGGTTAAGGGTCATCCTCTCCCAAATGTGAGAACTTGTATAGGATCTCTTGGGGGTTTCCTTCACATCCTCTCAAAAGAGACATAATGCTGGAGAAGCAGGGGAGCAGTAGTCTTTCCAGAATAATTCAGTGTGGTGTTCTAGAGTGCTGGCTGGAAGAAAGCCAGCTCCTATTTCATGACTATTGGCAGCCTCCTCTAGAGAGCTTGGAAAGGTTCCTTTTTTAAGACTACAACTCCCAGAATCCCAGAAGTCTCAAAAGGAAACTTTTCCATGCTCCTCTGCAAGAAAAAAAGCCCTTCCCTCCTCTGAGCTACAGAGGATTTGTGTTCCATATTAACAAATATAACTCCTGAAAGAAATGATGCTGGGTTCCATCTTCCCTTTTTGTGGTAGGGAAACCACAAGGCTGGCTGGTGGGGGCGGGGGAAGTTTATTCCACTATCAACCCATAAAATATTCTCCTTAGACTTCCCACTGCTTCAACCTTGGGGCAAGAGTATGGTCTCAGATAGTTCTGCGGGTAACTCTGTGCCTACTCTCTCACCCTTTTATCATCTCTTTCAACAGCCAAAGTGGAGCAAGTGAAGTTTGATGCCACCACTCTGCATGCAAAGCCTGAGATAGCTGCCCAGAACAAGATGGTGGATGATGGCTCTGGAGAGGTGGAGGTAAGGACCAAGCCAGCCCAATGTGTCTTCTGTTGGCAGGGACTCCAGTTGGATGACACGACACCCACATAAAGACTGAAGGCAGATCAAGCACAGAGGCTTTCTCTTGTGAAATAGATTGTTCCTGTGGTTTTAACTAATTGGACATAAAGTTGAGGATGTGCACTTGCAAGATATATGGTATAACCAGCCTAAGACCAAACCATGCCACTTTAGTTCACAGGCTGGAAACATTCGTTTTTAATACTGTGATTCCAAGCATCATGGCCACTGGCCAGTCTGGCTGGTGAATTCTGAGAGTTGTAGTCCATAATTTTTATTTTATTTTATTTTAGGCTGTGCTGCAGTCTACTTATTGCAACCAAAGAATTAAAAATGCCTTTGGTTAGAGCTGTCCACATGCTTGTTTTTCAGAAGCCTGAGTAGGAATATTCAAGGCAAATGCCTTTTTAAAATTACCATATCTACTGTATTTATAATTCACTGCCGTGCTGTCTTTTGATTTTGGGTGTTTTACAGTTACGCTAATTGATTAACATGCAAGTAAGCTTTGTACTCAAGAGGTGGGGCAGAAGTTGGAGTCAAAGCCTTGACAGGTCTCAGTTTCCCATTCTGAAAGGACAGCAAGCCACAAAATAAAACCTACCATGAGGAATTCAGCTAATTGATGAGAAGCAACATTAATGTGTTATAGTTGCAAAGACTCTTGGACAGAGTGGTGTAGACATTTCTACATATTTCCCTACATGGGAAGAAGGCTACATGCCCTGGACCCATGACAGGCCCTATAAAGACTGCAACAACTACAAACAGGAATGTGAGCTAAGTAGTATACAATAGAGCAAGTTGCTCCTAAACTAAACAACAAACAGGAAACCATGTTCCACATAAGAGGAGGAAGCGCTCTTGTCTCATTGATTTTTATGGTTGCCAGGAGACAGAGGTCTTGTCCAACTGCAGAAGCACTAAGAAGTTTTACAGAGCTGTCTGGCTCTTTAAAATAAAGCAGTAGGAAAATACAACAAAATGCTGGGGAGAAGCTTCTCGGCTTGTAAGAGTACAACAGGGAGGATACTGAATAGCTTGGGATAGGCTTGTAGTCTTCAAGGAACACAACAGCAGGGGGACCAAAACAGTGCAGAGAGGCGTCTTTGTATTTTTTTACAAACACAACAGCAGGAACATTGAAAAACTTGAAAGAGGATTGTAGTCTTTTAAGCATTAAACAGCAGGAATACCAGAAGAGCTGAAGAAAGGTTTTCACACCAGCGTTTTTGCTGGCAGTTGCACCAGCAGGAAATTTCAAGACTGCTTTGTGCTTCATTGCTATAATCTCTAAATTGCCATGGAAATCATTTGATCATTTTGATCAGAAGACATGGCTACCAAGTGTTTTAAATAAATAATGTAATGCCAGGTTTGGCAGGGGATCCAAATGCTGCATTAAGGTAGCTCCAATTCCTCACAATTAAAAAAATGAAATCTATTATATTTCTGTCTGTATATTCTCCTTACACTGTCTATCCTCACAGCAATGTGGGTTACAGTCATCAAATAATTATTACACGAGGCACACTCCCCCACTCCTCCCCCGTGGCCATTGGTAACCTTGGTCAGGTCTGTGTGTGTCTGGGTTCTGATGTTTCATGTAGCATCACTCATACAGGTTGAAGTACGCCCCTGTGTCCAGAAGGACAGAAAGGAATTGTGCAGTTTATTTATTTTCAAAGAAAGCAAGAGTCCCTAGGAAACGAAATTCCACATCCCTCGGCACATTTGTTATCTCAGGGCACGGGTACATTAGTATGCTTTACATACATATAACATTGACAGCTACATAAATCACTGCTCTATGTACTGGTTGCTCATAGTCACTGTGATTCTTGTAATCTCTAAAGTAGTTTAAAATTAGACTATTTAAAAATGTGTACATTTTAAACATTGAAGCCATTGCATCAGAAACCTGTGCAATATTCCTAAATGATGATTCCTACACCATTTTGGGATAAAGACTCAAGGGAGGGACGGAATTTTGTTGGAGTGATAATTCCTGAGCAAAGTATCTATTTCACACCTCCAAAGACTCATTACAGGACAAATAGGCACAGCTACAGTATGAGGCTTGCTTAGAGTTTCGGTGAAATAAAGCACAATACAAGACCATGTGTAATTTTTTTTTTAAAAAAATGTGATTGATTATGTAAAATGGAAAAATATACATTAAATGCTTTAGTAAGTACAGAAAATGTGCAATATATGTATATATGTATATATATATATATACTGTGTGTATATATATATACTGTATATATATATATATATATATAAACACACACACACATACAAAAGAAATGTGCACAGAGAAAAATCAAGCTTTACAAACTAGGAAAGGAGTAGGTGAGAGTCAGAAATAATAAATACTCACGTGCCATCAAACCAATTTTGACATATGGCGATCCTTTTTGGGATTTTCCAGGTAGAGAATACTCAGAAGTGGTTCACCATTCCCTTCTTCTGGGGGTGCTCTGGGACTGTGCAGCTTGCCCAAGGCCACCCAGGCTGGATGTATTCGCCGGAGGAACAGTGAGGAATCAAACTCCCAACCTCTGGCTCTGCAGCCAAATAACTAAACTACTGTCTAAAAGTACAATAAAACTAAACATTCCTAGTTGAGTTTAAAAATTATGGCCTCCTAGACTGCTAACAAATCTAATTTTACCCATCCCAATTTTATTGGTTACATTTGCCCCTACCTGAAATATATATAACTATCATATTTCATATATTCTGTGTATGTCAATAGGTGTGGCGAATTGAGAACTTGGAGCTGGTGCCAGTAGAGAATCGTTGGCTTGGGCATTTCTACAGTGGTGACTGCTATCTTATCCTCTACAAATATGAAGTCTACAATAAGTTCCATTACATCCTGTACATTTGGCAGGTGAGCACAGGCAAAGAAAAATGAGACATGGAAAGTAAATTGGGGTGTGTGTGTGGAAATGCTCTTTTGAACTCAAAGAATCTGAGTTGATCTGGGACGAGACATGGAAAGTAAATTGGGGGTGGTGGTGGAAATGCTCTTTTGAACTCAAGGAATCTGAGTTGATCTGGGAGAGCATTGGATGGGGGGGGGGGTTGTACAAGAAATAATTGAAAAAGTAAATTTTCCAAGTTTTGAAGACGGCTGGCAAAAATGGAGAAGTTTAGTACTCTGTGGGTTGTTTCTCTGCATGTTGCAAAGCTGGTGAAAAGACTGCATGCAAAATTTAGACAGTTTCAGTTTTCAGGAAGGATCTTGAATATGTTACCAGACTCTGCTATGAGAATGCTGCATCTGATCGGTCAGAGCATAATCAAGAGGGGTGAGCGTCTTGGATAGAAGCTCCTTTTTCTGCTGAATTCTGCTGGATGAAGACTAGGACTACTGCATTTCCCCGAAAATAAGACCAGGTCTTATATTAATTTTTTCTCCAAAAAAAATGCACGAGGGCTTATTTTCAGGGGAATGTTTTATTTTTTTCATGTATAGCAATCTACATTTATTCAAATACAGCCATGTATTCTGGTGGCTGCACAATGCTGAACAATGGTGGAGGTTTCACTGAACTGGGGTTTATTTTGGGGTAGGGCTTATATTACAAGCATCCTGAAAAATCAGATTAAGGCTTATTTTCAGGTTAGGTCTTATTTTCAGGGAAACAGGGTACATCTCCCCTCTTTCTGAATAAAGCCCACTGTGTTGCCGCTTCTCAGGGTCGCCATGCCAGCCAGGACGAAATCACTGCCTCCGCGTACCAGGCGGTCATTCTGGACCAAAAGTATAATGGTGAACCTGTGCAGGTGCGAGTTACCATGGGCAAGGAGCCTGCCCATCTGATGGCCATTTTCAAGGGACGCATGGTGGTCTATGCGGTGAGTCAAAGAGACCTAGGCAGGGAGACTGCCTAACTAATGACAACCCAGTAGTTTACACCAGTAAAAAAAGAAAAACAAGCAGCAGTTGGGGATTTAGATTTTGATCACAGCAATTGTGGTAAGATGTCTAATCTTTCCCCTGATTGTTTTTTTCAATCCCACACACATCACTTGTCTTGCTTTGAGGGCAAGGGCAGAATATAAGTAAGCGGTACTTCTCCCTGCCCTCGTGCCCAGGATCTAATAACAAGTTTCAGAGTTGATGGAAGGAGAAGGGGACTTGCAAATTAAGGAAATGATAAGGAGAAAAATTGCCAAGTAGCAAAAAATGAAGCCCTTCCAACTGTTCCAAAGTAATAAGAGCCCATTGGAAGATCAAAGGGTGTTTCTAAATTAGAGGTAGGCAAAGTGTTGTTGGATTACAGTGCCAAGCATTCATCCTAACGGGCTAGGTAGGATAGGCCTTGCATCTTGCACACCTCCTCCTCTAGGTTGAGTGCCCCTAGCACTCCTAGTTAAAAGGCACCAGGTAGCTATTCTACCTTTCCCTACTTAGCAAATTTTAGGCAAAATCCTGTTGCAGAGTTAGGGTACATTGGAAGAAGGATGATGACGTAATTCACAGTGGCAAACTGCCACTAATTTACAAGTCACTGTTTAGATTCTTGGTCAGGTGCTAAGCCACCCAATGGGCACACAATGATGGACCCAAACACTCACTCCTTAACTGTCAGCACTTTGCCTTGTGAGTAACACTGTTGCCCTTCCACTGACATAAATTTCTGTGTTAACTGAAAGGAAAACGACAGAAACAGAATATAGGGGCTTTTCTCTAGGTACGCTCTTTGAGCAGCCAGAAGGGCCTTGTTTGCTCAGTAGCAGAACGACTCCCCTGCCCCCACCTGCCACATTCTCACTCTCCTCTCTATCTTACAAGAGGCAGGAGGGGCATTTCCGTTGTGAGAAGTATGTTTCAGGGATGGAGACTAGAGTTGTGGGTCTCGCTGTCAAGTTGGACTTAAGTTGGACTTAAGTTGACTTGGACTTGACTCAGTGTTTTTGGTTGTTGTTGTTGTTTTAAATGACTCAGCCTCAACTTGTGACTCAGAACCCACCCACCCTCTCTCTTTCTTCTGGGGGCGGCTTGGCTTGTTTTAAAATAGGGACTTGTGACTTGGTACCAAAGACTCAGAGTTGGACTTGGACCCAAAGACTTACAAATATCCCTGGCATGTTTCCTATCCTGTGACTAGAAGACTGAATTAACAAGAGGGGGACAATGTGTTGTAATTAACTTGTAAACCACCCACAGAGTGCTTGAAGCACTATGGGGTGGTATATAAGCAGTACACTTTGCTTTTTGCTTTGCTTTTGGCCCAAGAGCTTCCTTACCAGACCATTTCAGGAAATTCATTTGACTGTAAACACTCAGAGTTGCTTTTTTTACCTGTTACCTCATGAGCCACAATTTTGTAGTCATAGCTTTCTTTTCATTCCTTTCTTTGGAGAGTTTGTTTTGTTCGCTTTGTAGGCATTCTCCTATTGGATTATTGCCACCAGTTGCAAGGGACAGGAGCATCTCATCCCACAATGTTGGGATGTGTCCCTTCCTTGGGCTGTTGGTGATAATTACACAAAGGGGAGGGAAAATAATTGCTCAGTCCTTGTTCTGAAAATAGGGTCAAGAAGCAGTGGCTTTAAATGTCATTCACGGCACTCAGATGAATACAGTGGTAGAAAATCTGCCTAGAGGGGTCCTGGAATCTTCTCTTTTGTAAGTCCTCAGTATGAGAGTGAACTTCAAACATTATCCATTCCTGTCCTGTGGCAGACATTGCCCTGTTGAGGGTCAATGCTATATTTCTGTGGTTATGTAATAATGATGTTCAATCTCCTGAACACACCTGATTTGGAAGGTAAGCAGGGCCTGAGTCTGGTTAGTATTTGAATGGGAGACAACCAGAGAATACTTTATCTTTCCTAAGTACAGCTAGGAAAAAATTCTCTATGAAATCCTGCAGAACTGTAGCAAGTCAGAGTAAACAATACTGGCCTAGATGGGTAATTGTATAACTTACAATAAAGAGCTTCCTATATTCCTTTGACGGAATATTGGGTGCAACATAGTTTGTGCAACAGTTTCAGGAGTATGTCGTGGCAGTTGGAAGCAAGAGTGTGAATGGATTTGGTCTATAGTTCTTACTCCCAAGTGTGACTTTCCAAATATCACTACCTCAGGTCTTGCAGCATCATGATGGTAGAGCTCCTCCTTTGTATGACCATCAAGAACATGGGCCAAAATCCCATTCTGTATTTATTTATGTGTGCATAAGAAGAGGCACAGAAACTGGCACAACTAAATGGTACAAGGTACACAACTGCTATGCAACCAGTACCTCACCAATAAATGTGACAGTTTCTACTGTTCCTCTTGTGTGCACACAAATATCCAATAAGATCCTAACTATGGTTAAGAGGCATGGGGTTAGATATATTTCCAGGCAAAACACATTCTGAAAATGTTTATATATGGGGTCCAAGACTGTTACGGGTTTTTGATACAGTATTGATTTTATTTTACTTCTTACCTAGGGTGGTACCTCCCGAACTGGCAATACAGATCCAGTGCCTTCCACCCGCCTTTTCCACGTTCAGGGAACTAATGAGTACAACACTAAAGCCACCGAGGTGACTCCCAGGGCCTCCTGTCTTAACTCTAATGATGTCTTTATTCTCAAGACCCAGAGTTGCTGCTATCTCTGGTATGGAAAGGTAGGTTTGTTGTGTCCAAGAGTGAGGGGAAAACTTTATGTGCAGGGGAAAAAAATCACTTTTTAAAGACCTTAATCCCCAGAATGCGCCAACCAGCATAGTCACTTTGATTACCTCTGTCAAGAACACTGACATCATCCACCCAATGGAAGCACTAATGTGTTAATGGGAGGTTTTCTAAAAGCCCCTCATTTCCTGGGTTTGAAGAACAGCTGGAATCTGGCATCCTCAAGGTGGGAGGAAGCAGGGAAGGAGGAAGAAGAACCCTCAAACTACGATGCTGAAAGCCTGAGGTACTCTCTAAAGCCCTTCCCATAACCTGCTATATCATCCTTTCTTCAGGGCTGCAGTGGAGATGAGAGAGAGATGGCCAAGACTGTGTCAGATCTCATCTCCAAGATGGAGAAAATTGTGATCGCTGAGGGTCAGGAGCCTGCGGAATTCTGGGTTGCCCTGGGTGGGAAGTCTCAGTACGCCAACAACAAAAGGTGACCGTCATACCACCCTCAACACATTGATGTTGTCTGATTTTTAAAACTGAGGAGGGTCAGCCATGGTTTATGATTTAATGGGAGGCCACTAAAGAATACCTGGTAGCTCCAGGTAAGACCAGGAGAGAATCCTGCCTGAATCCTTTCAGTCACAGTTGGCAATACTGGGCTACACAGACCAGTAGCCTGATTCAGAATCATAGAAAGTTCTAATTTTCCTATAATAGCTTCACAGATCTCAAAGGAAGCAGATCCATTTGCCTATGACTGGGGATCAGGGAACTGACAGTATGCACCCCCCAGGAGAAAACAGAAGGGACTTCCTCTCCTTGTGTCCTCGGCTTAACTGCCAAGGCCTACACAGTCTTCATAGTCTACAAAGTATGCCTCTAAACACACAACTTGCAAGCTTCAGGCTTACCAAAGCTTAGACTGAACTGAGCAGGGCACAACATTCATCACTTGTCAGAATCAAAAAACCTTAGGTGATTCTCTGAGAGCTCAGCTTAAGAAACAAACATATTATTTTAATAATTGTAATAAAACTCTATGGTCAGCTATAGATTTCTTGGTTAGGCTTATAAGCCTGCCTTTCTTCCAGTAAGCTCAAGAATGTGTGCCTCATCTTTTTCCCCTCTGCTGCAGCCCTATAAGGCAAAGCAGGCTAAGGATGACTTTCCCCAAGGAGTTTTATGAATCAGGAGGGACTTGAAGTGTGGACTTCACAAGTCTGAGTCCAACTCTTCCACGTGGGCTGCACAGGTGTAGGGGTATGTGCTTATTGTAAAAACACTTGAAGAGGAAGGTGACCTTGAGCCAACAAGGGTCAAGGAGGAACTCAATGATGATGGTGGTGGTGCTGATGATATCATCATCTGAGAACTGCAGAGCTGGAATGGACCTTTCAAGGAGAAAGGTTAAGTGCATGCTCACGAAGGGAGAGGCTACTGCTTCCGCCTTCCAGATTGCTTCTGTTCCAGTGCAACTTGGCAGAGAAGCAGCTGATTGTGTCTTGGGTGGGGCTGAGCCTAGATCTGCCCTAGCAGAGCCTGATCTGCCTCTTCCTTCAATCTCCGCAGACTGCAAGAAGAAACGCTTTCCATCACGCCACGGCTCTTTGAGTGTTCCAACAAGACAGGCACCTTTCTTGCCACGGAGATAATCAGTTATACTCAAGATGACTTGGAGGAAGATGATGTGTACTTGCTGGATATTTGGGACCAGGTGAGCCAGAGGGAGCAGTAGAAAGAAGCAGCTTCTGCTTTTGGCCACTACCTGAACAATAGCCAGAAGTAGGGGCATCATGAAAGAATTTTCATCATGATTAACTGTGCAGCTTAATTGCTCGTTCATTTTGTTTCCACAGCCACTTCCCACCTGATATAATTACTGAAGCTATCAACATTTGATCATTGATGTTGGGCTACATTTTCACTCAAGATTTTTCAGAGTATTTTGTCTTCCTCTTTCCTTTACCCTTTCTCTGTATCGGATTATCTTGTTCTTTGTCTCCATTTAAAGCTCTGTCTCTCATTTTATTTTCTTAACTAGTTGTCAATGTCATTCCTTTTTCCCATTTTAAGATCCCATTGTGTGTATATTTAGAAGATAATCCTCAGGTAGGCCTCCACATGGGGACGTGGTGGCGCTGCGGGCTAAACTGCAGAAGCCTGTGCTGCAGGGTCAGAAGACCAAGCAGTCGTAAGATCGAATCCACGCGACGGAGTGAGCGCCCGTCGCTTGTCCCAGCTCCCGACAACCTAGTGGTTCGAAAGCATGCAAATGCAAGTAGATAAATAGGGACCACTTCGGTGGGAAGGTAACAGCGTTCCGTGTCTAAGTCGCACTGACCACGGAAGAGTCTTTGGACAAAATGCTGGCTCTATGGCTTGGAAACGGGGATGAGCACCACCCCCTAGAGTTGAACACGACTGGACAAAAATTGTCAAGGGGAACCTTTACCTTTACCTAGGCCTCCACATATAGCTTGTACAGGGAATACATGGTCTTCCTAAACTCTCTGCCATTTCTACAGGGAGAACAGATGCCCAATAGAACAGCTTGGGGAAAATCACTGTTCCCAAGCAGGAGACCAATGAAATAATCAGATCAGTCATTATACTGCTTCATCTTCAGGATTCTTTGCCTTGTTTGTACATGAGCATACTATAAGTTATTAGATCAACCTGAAGGAACAGGTTGCACCTACAGCAGTGTTGCTGCTGTAGATGCAACACTGAGTTACTTTAGAATAAAAGTCCTGTGGATACATTTATTATTAGTAAAATATGTTGGGTCTTTGAAGAGCCCCAGAATTCCTTATTGATGTTGTTGGTGAAAGCAGGGAGGTATCTGACGTAAACTTTAATGTCAAGGAAATCTGCCACTGCATGCATGCCCGCGCTTACCTATTCTTGAAGTTCCTTTCCGCATTAAGACTCTAAACCCAGCTATTAGCATGTACACGCCATCTTAGCTTCCAAGAAGCCAAGAAACATTCAAACGTTCCTCCTGTAGGTTTTCTTCTGGATTGGCAAAAATGCAAATGAGGATGAGAAAGCGGCAGCAGCTGTCACTGCCCAGGAGTACCTGCGCACTCATCCAGGTGGCCGTGACCTTGATACCCCCATTGTGGTTGTGAAGCAAGGCTATGAACCTCCCACGTTCACTGGATGGTTCCCAGCATGGGACCCCCTCAAATGGCAGGTAAGCAACACTTGTTCACAGATATAGGAAATGGAAGCGCAGAACATTTACATGCAAAAAGGGGTTAACTGTTCTTATCTGAAACAAAGATGTCCATTTTGAGAAAACATTATTCCTCCTTCCTGTTTGTCTTTCTTCTTTGGACATAGAAGTTTTCTCAACATCAGCCTTCATGAACCTTTTGTTTGAACTGAGTTGGTAGCCAGCTGGACCAGCTAGTCAGGGGACTATTAAATGTGTAAGCTCAGACTGACATACTTCTAGTTGGCAGGTTTCTTTTAAGAGTTGCATAGAACTCACTGTGATCCTCCAGCTATATCTATGGCAAAAACAGATTTTGGTGTCTGCTTGCATAATGTGGCATATAAATTCTTACAATTTGTGTTTACAAAGGACAAGAAAAGTTACGAAGAACTGAAGGCTGACCTTGCCCACGACAATGACCTGGAGCAGCTCACTTCGGTGAGTACTGCCATCTGACCCTAGAGGCAGGGAGAAAACAAGTGTTTATTTTCATGTCTTTGAACATCAAATGGCACTAGGGAAGTAGATACACAAATAGTTGAGGTCACAATTGTTCTGTTGAAAACCAATAACTGTAGAGTCTACTGTGAAAGTGTTTGCCCCATGCAAGTTGTACAACAAAATGCTTTTGACACTATTATAGAACAGAAAAATGAGTTATAAAGAATTTGAACATTGCCAAATAAAAGGTAACACAAAGACCCTGTTCCTCCAGCTACCACCACCACAGAGGGCTCCTTCACCATCTTATACCATTCCTCTGTTGCTGTAGTCAATGATGCCACAGGGGATACAACACAAGGCCAGAGGTTGAGTTCCTAGAGATCAGTCCCTCCCCAACAGCATGAGCACTCCTTTTCCACACTGCTCAGAGTTCCTTCCTGCCCGTGTTTACAGTACAACAAAGTCTATTGGTGGTACTCAAGTTCACTGTGTGTTATTTTAATTGAAAAGTACTTAAAGGGTTTGTGCGCTAAACCTGCCCGATACATACTTCAATCCCTTAAAAACAAATGAAAAACAAACCAACACCACCACTCCATGAATGTGGAATACTCTGCTTTTGTATCTACAATTCAAAATGCCAGGGCATCTCAGTGACACTGACTAGCAGGAAAAATGATGCAAAATCTAATGTCAGCAATGAAGATGGTGTACAGGATCCCCTCTTGTGCTTGCTACCACTCACAAACCAGTAACAAAGGAAAATCCAAGAACCTAACTCCTTTTTCATCACTGGTGGGAATTGTAAGCGACTCCTTGAACATCTCACAAACTGTGACTGTAATAGGACCTTTGAATCAGAAGTTTGAAATTTTCCTCACAAAATGCTGCACAACCTGCAAGGTATTCATGGTTAATTTCTGCACTTGATTTTACATTGTGTGGGCTTACCTATATTCACAAGGTGTGTCAATAGATTTAAGAGTATTTCACTTCACAATATCTATGTTCTTTCAACTTGATTTAAATAGCCTTAGTGCAGTCCAGCCATGGAAAAAAGTGTTGGGGTTTTCTTTTTCCTCCAGGAAATCCTTGAAGCAAAAGAGGTCTTCACTGCCAACACCAACTTTAGCAACAGGTCACTGAGAACATATTCCTTGGAGAAACTGGTCAATGTGCCTGTAGAGGAGCTGCCCAGTGATGTAGATCCTAGTAGGAAGGAGGTGAGAGATCTGAAGGTTTTATTCAACATCCTCATGTTTATGAGCGTTTTCACTCTTTCAGGAGCATTGTGTGGTACTTGGATGCAGAAAACTGTGAGATTAACAATAACAAAGCAAAAATGAAAAAAAAAAAAAGCATTATTCACCAGCAGGTTTAGTAGATGGTTTTGGAGAATTTGATGCGAGGTGAGAATGTTGCTCATATGTGAGCAGAAATAAAACAACATAAATACAAACCAATTTAGAAAAACAATTCCAGAAGGAACTAGAAAGTTAACTATCCAGCTTTGCCTGACCTTGCACACACAGGTTTTTACATATCATAGTACCTGTGGGATTATTGGAATGGCAGACTTGAAATAGATTAGTCCAGTGGCTTCCAACCTGGAATGATACACTGATCAGATCTTCCATTCCAGTTTCAACACAACCTTAAATTTTAAAATTACTTATTTCCATACATACTGCAGCATTTCAGTATTTTCTTTCAAAATCATAGTTGGAGGTGAAGGTTTCTGGGAACTGCAGTCCAAGAACACCTGGGTTATCTACAATTCGGAACCACTGGATTAGTTCCAAAGAAGATGAAGTTGTACCAAAGCAGCACTGAAATGTTCAGTTTTAGAACAAGAACTGTCTGTTACCCGTTTTGCTTGTAGTCCTCACTCTTACAGGAAATATTAACTGTAAAATTTTCACTACGTTTAGTTCCAGTTATGATCCTAGCTTCTCTTTTTCTCTCTTGCTGCCTATAGGACTACTTATCGGATGAAGATTTTCTTGCTGCTTTTGGAATGTCCCGACAAGACTTTGCTGCACTGGCCCCATGGAAGAAACAGTCTCTCAAGAAGGAAAAGGGACTCTTTTAAATATAAACTTCTTCCATTAGATTAATGCAGATGTTTAATTAATCAAAGCTTGCTAACAGGAGTGCCAAAGAGTGAATGGTCAAGCATTCTCTGCCACTGGAAGTCTTACAGGGACAAAAAGTTTCTTTAAAAACATTGTAATTGCCTTTATTCCTAGCCACTAAACAAGTATGCAGGCTGAATGGAGTATAAAAAGGTAGCCTTAAAGATAGGGGTAAGGAACCTTTAACCCTCCAGATGTATTGGATACCTCCCATAAACCCTTAGCATTGACCATGCTGAGTATTGTGAATTTAAGTCTAAAACATCTTGAGGGCCAACAATGTCCTATCACTATTTTAAGATTTGCTCCTTTCCTCACTTTTTCTACATGTTAACAGTACTGTTCTATTCTGTTCAGCCACCAGTTCCAGGTTTTCTTGTGGCAAATGATGCCATTTGCCCTTCGATTTAATTCCTCTGAACTCCAGATTAAGTTTTGTTGTACAAAATTATTCGGCACTTTTGACAAAAGATGTTTGCACTGCCCATTTATCTGAGTTATCCGTGCTGAAGACTCCTGTTGCTTTGTTTTACCAATTGGTTTTCTAGTACAGAAAAGTTTCCCCTCCCTATGAAACCACACACTGATCAGGGTATCTGTTCCAGTTTCAACACAATGATGTTAAGTTTTAAAATTACTTTTGCATACGTACCCCAGCATTTCCATGGGATTTTTAAAAAATCACACTTTAAATAAATAGAACTAAGCCTCAATTCAAATAATCTTGTCTAGCATTTATGAGCTTTGATCTTGAGCAAGGAAGGAGTAATACACTCCTCTGCGATCCTAGCACAACTGGGAGTGTCAACCAATAGCACTCCCAGCCATAGTTACACTACCACTCAAACTTTTAAGTTACTTTACATGATAAATATAAATAAATGTTGAAATACGCCAGCAGTGATCACTAAGTCCATGCATTTCAGAACAACAAAAACACAAGTGCTCCAGTGTTTCCAAAAGTGTGCAGTATGTTTCCCGGGATTATTTATTTTATGTGAAATATTTTTATCCTGCTTTTCTCCTTTAATAGGAACCCAAAGAGGGATTTAAAATGTAAAAAGCAAGTCATGACCAGGGAGAAAAAAAGAATAAAGACTATGCTATGGAGAGTAAGTTCTAGAAAGAAAAATAAAGAGATTCAGCATGAATAAACAGTATTTAATTTATCAGAAATTCATCTACACATCATTTAAAGAGGAATAAAATAGGCAGAACTGTAACAAATACACAGGAACATATCTGCTAAAACACAGAAAAATGCTGCTCTGCGTTAAGTGTCAAGGGACACAAAAGTGACTCACAACAAAAAAACCACTCTCAGCAAACATGTAAGTGACCTCCCACTTCAATTCATTCTCTTCCCTTTCTTGCATTTTTACATTTCATCAAAGAAGCAGGTTAACGCTAGACGAATAAACTGCCCACACTTCAGCTTTCATTCCCAGGCAGCCCGTTCTTGATCTTAGATCAGTTCAGAAGCACATCAGTTGTTTCTGTCCAGGAACTCAGTTCTCCTTTGTATTCTGAACTTTTCTAAAAACATCCATGTACTGTATTTCAAGTGAAATGCAATTTTGTTTCATTCTGCTTAATCAAATCACCCTAGAAATAGTTGCAATGTATCTTGTTAGCACCATCTCCAACATTGTAGCTTATGTTTCCCAATGAAGGGCCGTAAGGGGTGGGGAAGGCCCAGGACTATTTTCAGAAGGAAGAAATCACCAGAATCTTTCGTGTACTTCTCAAATACCTTTCCACAGATCTCCAGCTTACAAAATGGCAAGTATTAAAATTCAAAAGAAAAAAAATGCAAGTTTTAGTATGACAGTGGCACCTAATGCCATATAACTGCATGTTTAGATATTCAGTAACAACTGTAGACTCCTGACCATAAGAAAACAACTGACATTTCTGTAAGAGTTTTTATTAAAAAAAAAACAATATACAGGTACTTGCTGATTTTCTGAACCTACCTGAGTCACTCGCTTAATCCATGTACGTACATCATCTGTTGTTCTTGGGAAGTCATATTATAGTTTAGTTACTTAGTGCAAACACAAATATGGCTATTTTTCTTTATCAAAAAGTAAATATAGCAGAAAAATACAGAAGAGAAACCGAGAAAAGCCAAATAAATATATGCTAAAGCCCACAGCAAACTCATGTTTAGTGCTGAATTCCTTTGAAACTAAGAATATGAGCTTTCAGAAGACGTCTAATAATCTTGAACACCATGGGACTCTTAAAAACAAATCCTCACAAAACCCAATCTCCTTTAATAGGCAACAGAATTTTAAAGCCCAGCAACTGTAGCTCAAGCTCTCCAGAAATTTTCAAGAAGTCCCCAAGCTTTCAGTACAATGCCTCAAAAGGATCTATGATCAGTGTTGCTAAAAGAACCCCTGTTCCCAAACAACTAAGAAGATACTGCACAAGAGTAACCACTTAATAGTTTCAGAATTACGTTAAAGCAATATATCATTTTGAAAAAAAATAATTTAGTGCATACAGAACCATCCTTTTACAACGTACTGAATTTTCTACAGATTTTGAAAAGACATAAGTGAACCTGGATGTCAGCTGAAAAAGATGTAACTAAGGAGAGAGTATTAGATGTACCAGTTCCTTGCCACCACATTTCAGATTAGGAACAGAAACTTTATTCAGAGGAGTGTTGTTCAACAACAGAGGTCATTCTACTTCAGTATTATGAGTATCACATTCGGAGTGGGGTTTTTTAAGTGAGAGAAAATTGCTTTATTCCTTGCTAAAAACACACTGAAGTTACTTCAACTGTCAGCAGTACAAAATACAGTGGCAGAGTAAGGAAGCATAGTATGTTTTGGGAATGTGACTTTAGAAAACATTGTCTTATTCAACAGATCAAGTAGGCAGCAATTGAAATTTTATCACCCTGTTGTTATCCTATACATAGCAAATGTCATTTGGAATTAACACAGCCTGTAATGCTACAAACCCTAAAGGCAAATCCTGTAATAGAGAATACCTGCTGTCTGTTATCATATAGTTGTCTGTCTCTTATAGTCCCAGAATTTTGTTTTTAAAGGAAGTACTAATAGTAACTAAAGTCCCCCAAAGGGGAAAACCTCTCAATTTCTGTTAAACTTTTCAAAAAGGAGGTCTTGTTCAGAAGGAAACCAAGAAACAGCTCAGTTATCAGCAATCTCATTGCCATAAAAAAACAAAAATGAGAGAGGGAGCAATTAATTTTCAAACTAAGTGAGGAACTGGCCCAGGTTACTTCCTAGATACATTTTTCTTGCCAAATGAGCCATAAAATAAGGTTTACGTTCTCCAAATATCTCTGAAGCACCAATGCGTTTTGCCCTGAAATGCCTTGCAGACATAACAAAGACTTGTGAAAATGTTTGTTTTTCAACTGACTTGAATGCTTTTGTCGCATAACTTGAAAAAAGCGAAGTATACTGTATATTTCACCTTCCAGCATATGACACTTGCGCAATTTAGTAAAACTGAGAAAGATAACCCCTTCCAAGCAAGTACAGTTTTTCCGGTCTGAAGACAGGAGCAGACAAGAGGAACACAGAATAGAAACTGTTGTTGATTGTATTTTGTTTAGAATAGACCTTGACCTGTTGCTGTTAGCTGCCTCTCTCACAGCCCAACTGGGACAGTCTTTAGTGAAACACAGCAAATACACCCACACACTCATAAAGAAATAAAATTGCCCTGAAAATGGCAATACGTAGAAAAGAACACAATCAAAAGGAATAAAAACTTTTGAAGTTAAAATATATATATATAATTATCAAACAAGGTTGATAGTGAACTGTAAATATGTCATATGGAATGGGTTTTAGAGCACCAACAGTTTGTGTCTTGGATCTTTGTGATTCTGGATTATAAATTGTGGGTGTCCAACTTCATCTGTTTCAGCAATGCCAGGTAATTCCATTCAAGTGATCGGTCATCGATGCTTTCCAGTGATACTATGGACATAATAAATGTCAGGTTGCAGGCCACAGCTTAATTTTGATGTTGTATGAGGAAGAGGGAAAAAGCCACCCCATCTATAAGATAATCTTCATTTCCCTTTATCAGACAAATGGATGACCATTGCAGTCTCTTCTCACAGTTGCATTTGAGGAGTTTCTGAAGGAACTGCTAATCCTCTAGCCTGATATAACTCAACTGCTGGCAAAATTATTTCTTGAACATCTTAACAGAAACAAAAATAAAGGAAGAGAACTGATTAACTGCATGGCTGAGGTCAATGGTCCATCCCTCCTGTTCCAAGGGGTTTGTCTCAACGATGCCCTGAGTTCTTGAGAGTTTGGAGCTCTTGCATATCAGGCAAAAGTTCATAATCTTTTGTGCTGAGAGAGAAAGTCATTCTTCACTGGGGCTGTCGAACTGGCTTTCCCACCTCCAGGCAAGTCAGCTGCATATTCTTTTCTGTTTCTAGCAACTCATCAAATATATCCCTAGGGAACATGAAAGAATTTCGTATCAGTGATCAGTAAGTTATACATATAGCACAGGAAGGATGTGAAAGGTATTTAAAAAACCCAAGTGACAGCATAGAGAGGAATTTTCCCCAGTCAGAGAGATTCTACCGGGCACAGTCTGGTAACTCCCAGTTAAGACAGAACTTGGGAAAGTTACCATGAGTCCCAGGATGCCACTTGCTGTCACATGTGCCATTTTTTGCTGTTTAGAAATCAGTGTACATGGATCCACAAAGTACAATCTGCAAGGATCAACAGCATGTGCCCCCGGCTTCATCCTGCTCTTAAAGAAAACATTTTAGTGCTAAAAACAGCAAATCATGACCAACCTACTTGCCCCATCTTCTTGAAACACCATTTGCCATTTCTGAGAGTATTTTAGGGGAGAGGGTGGACTTTAAGGGGCACAACCCACCAAAGACTCCAGAAGGGCAATACTGGGCCTGGCCCCTTGGAGACCGCCCAGTCCTATTTCATTGTCTGTAGCATAGCCCAACATCTTTAGATATAGGGCATGAAATACAAAGAGAAACAAAAGTGTCGTGGTGTCTTAAAGTCTAAGCAATTTATTTCACAATCCACACACTGAGTGTACTAGTTGAGCCACAGACTTTTATACACAGAGCACACGGCTATGCCATCCTTCATCATGGCTATGCCATGCTTCTCTGCACTCTATCCTTAGGGCAGATGGACAATCTCTATGTAAGAGATTAAACAGAGTCAAATCTGACATCAGAAATGGCAACATACAGAATCTATCTCCACACCACTTAAACCTCCCAGGACAACCTGTTATTGATCTGATCTCAAAGTTGTGAGGAAAAGGCATTATAATACAAGATTGGAGAGAGTGAAAGAAAGAGAGATGAAGACAGCTATATTTACAGATTCCAATGCATATAAAAAAGACTGAGGGTGGACCAAGATTTCTTAGCACAGCATATACTGTATGTTAGTTCTCTGGATTCATCTACAGGCTTGAGTACAACTGTAACCCAAAAATTGTGTTTTTGTCCTTTATAATACTCTAACCTCAGCATACTTGCTAAAAACCAGCTTAGTGGTAAGCAGTTACCTATCTGATCAATACTTTTGACTGATCACTGCTACTGCTAATAACACCACTATCATTTTGAAAGCCTATGACCAAAGCAGCAACCACCTTCTTTTTCCTATCTCACCTGATTCTCATCCCTCTACCATGTCTTCTCTGCATGTAAACCTATGGCCTAACTATTACAGTCCAGGTGTCTGAGGAAACTGGATTGCAGTCCTTGACAGCTCACATTGAACAATATCATTATGTCTTTAAGGTGCCATAAAATTTTTTGGGTTTTGTTGTTACACATGCCACAACAGACTAACATGGGTACCTCTCTGAAAACTAGATATAGGACAGGACATAAAGGTATAAAGCAAACAATAAATAAAACATACACTTTGTTTTAGACCTCAGACATGGAGGTTTCTTAAAGTCTTACATACTACAACTAGCAAGAAAAGAATCAGGAGCAGTTTTAGAAAACTATAAAAGCATTAGATAGGTGGAAAGAAAATTCAATAAAATGCAAACAAAAGAATTGGATCCCACCGGAACAATGCATAAAATGTATTTACTTGTGCATATAAAAGAAGATGTAGCCACTTCGGTCTCTGTCAGTCTGCACAGAGGTCTCTTGAGTTCTGGATACTTCCAAGTCATTGTATGTGAACCATGCCTGCTTGCGAATATCATATACATCACTAATATAGTGACCTTAAAAATGAGAAAAGAAGGAATTAATTGTAATTTCTAGAACACAATAACAACCAAAATATATACATTTACATACAGAAACCTTTATTGGCATTACAAACCAAAATATATTTTCAAGCCAGTTTGTTATTTTTCAAAAGTACCTAGCACATACAACCTAGAAGACCTAAGAAGTGACTCTTTTGTAAACCAGATTCTTCTGGCATTTTTAACATAACCAATGTAAATAATTTTAAGGAATCTCACTTAAAGTAGCTGATTTGTCTGCATATTACTACAACTCTTTAAAAGAAACCCAGTGTAATGTAGTGGGTTGACAGACAAACTAGGACTCAGGAGATCTGGGTTCAAATATCAGCGGGGCCATGGAGAGTAATGGGGGGTGTTAGCACAGGCAAAACCAATTCTTAAATATCTCTGAGACTTCAAAAACCGTATTAGAGTCATAAGTTGGGAGGAAACCTTTCTCTCTCATACACATCTCTTTAATGGTCTTTCTATGTGCAATGTTTACCATTCAACTAATGCAAATTTGTTCCATGGTATTACATGGAATACATAAAATTCTTGTGAAAAAGCAACATTTTTCAAGCACACAAAATGAAATATTAACATTAATCTTCCTTCCTTATGGCACTTGACTGTCAAAAGGCAACAAGTGCCTTTTCTATACAGAGCAAAACTATCAGAGGAGTGATTCTTGCTTACCTGAAGATGACGTGTCTCCAATATGGCTAACAACACTGACAAGACGATAGGAGTTAGGAAGCTCTCCTGTCTAGGGAAAAATTCATTTGTTAATTTTGTTTCCTTTTTGAAATATTAAGTTAACTTGGTTTAGGCAGGTAGCATGTGTAGTGATTTGGTGGCAAATCTAAATCATACAGTATTATGAGAAGGAGCCTCATGGTGCAGTGGTTAAACGGCTGTACTGCAGCAAAACTGTCCTCAAGACCCAGGGTTCAATCCCAGGAAACCGGCTCAAGGCTTACTCAGTCTTCTATCCTTCCAAGGTCAGTATGGGTAAAATGAATACCCAGCTCGCGGGGGGAGGATGATGACGTATAGCCCGCATATTTAACTTGTAAACCACCCAGATAGTGCTTCAAGTGCTATAGGGCGGTATAAAAACAGCACACTTTGCACGCTTTTATTATACAAAAAATATTACAATTACTCTTCTGAATTCCTGCTGCTTTCCTAAAGCCTCATCTTACCAAAGTAACTGCTTATCAAGCAAAAGTGATTAATCCAAGCATAAATAATAGAACTCCCATCTCTAGATTGAGCTATTTCTCTTGCTGCTTATGGATGGCAGGTAAAAATATATGACACAAAATTTATACTTCATTTTCAGTACTTAAGTAAATCAATGCATGTGTTTATGAGCAGTAATAGTTCCCACGTAAAATAGCAAAATCCATATTCCATTGTGCTGAATGCAGTGCTTGAACTGATTAGCAGACTGATTTTCCATTTTACTCTAGATTTCCTAAGGAAATAATTGCATCGAAAGTCCCTCCTACACAGACCTAAACTTTTTCCTTTTGTTTCTCAAAACTCCAGAAATGGCACATCCTTCATATGCCATCCCAGAATACTTCAGGGTTCAAGAGAGAAGGTTGGATTTAACTTCATAATGTATAGTAATAGCCAACATCAGGGATGGGAAATCTTCAGTCTGTGAGATTGCTTAGTAGTGATGGCTATTTTCAGGGAGCACAGGTGGGGGAGTAGAGGTTTAATGATGATGCTGGTGTTTGTCCACTGGAAAAAATCTAGGTGCTGTGGCATTTCATTACGGCAATACTAAAATCTGAGTTTATGGTATGTGGGAAAGACAGACAAGCTAAGGAGAGCAAAAACATTTCCCTTTCAATACGAACAGAAGTTCTTCCACACAATGTGGGATAAAAACAGAAGATGCCTTCAGCATAATTCAGAGGCTGCTTGTACAATTGCCTCATTGCTAAGAATCCCATGTAACCACTGTACTGAATGAAATGCCAGTTTACTGCAGCCAGTAAACTGACACATTCACTCCACCCCACCCCACCCACCCCACCTCTCCTCCTTCTCTGAGGGTGATCAGGAGTTTTTCTTCTATTTCTGTGATGAGAAAAGAGCAAATCATCCGAGTATATCCAGCTGAACACTTAAGAGGGCTGGTGCTGCCATGAAGCGAGTGAGCCTCTCAGCTTGGGTGGTAGAGCAATCATGACCCCATCAGCTCACTGTTGACAGACACCTGCAAGCACGCTGGCTGGCTCTGAGCACTGCAACCGCTAGTTCCAAGTTCCTTAGGGTGCCCCCTCTCCACCCCTTCCAGATACAACTGTGAGAAGGGCGGTGAAATGGCAAATGCTGCTCTCAAGAAGAGTAGCCATTACTGTCTCACACTGCATGCTCAGCCTAGTTAGTGGCTTACACGGGTTTCAACAACTGCACTCCATACCCACTGGTCAACACAGCCCTGCTCCCACCATGGGGGGAGGTGTCTGGAAGAAGGCCAGAGAAAGGCGCTCTCTGTCCAGCCATACCTCTGACCCTCCTCACTTCACAGAACACCAGTGGCCAATGAAGCACTAAACATTTTTCTTTTTAAAGGCCGAATGATTTGGCTGCACCAGCAGTGAGTTTTGAGTGGATGTGGGAAGACTGCTCTGTCTTTTTGCTCTAAGTCCCTTTCTCTCATTGCTCCTTAAGATCTGCAGTTTTTGTTGGGAATGGCTCTATACTGCTATTGGAAACAGGAGTGCTTTTGTTCTCGCTTACTATTTGTACAGTGGGGGGGGGGGACACGGGACCCAGCAGCTCCATTTTAGTGGGAAGAGACACAGGCTGAGAGTTGGGCTTTTTCCCTCTGCTTCAGTGTACAGGCTGGAGAGCAGACAACAGCACATGTCCTACTTCATGCATCTTTCCCCCTTACCATTGTGATTTACACTCCTTTCCCAAGGATGCCATTTTAACCCCACAATGCCTCATTTTACCAGAACTGTAAGCCTTAGTTCTGAGATGGGAAAGCTTAAAAGAAAAGTAGTGAGGGGTGATCCAAACATGCACATTGTTACCCAGAAGTAAGCCCCCTACTGAATTCAGTGGTTATCACTGCTAGGTAAACATGACTGCAGCATGAGATTCCACAGTCTGAACATCTAAATCCCCTTCTCTTTCCCTTTCACAAGGCAGTTCATTATTATAACAACAAAGCAAGAAGGAAGTAGGTTCTATCCTGTTCAAGACATATTGAGAATATATATACTGTATCTTTCCTAAATCTAGTTCTTAATCTCTAGCCATCTCCTTGGTAAATATAATCCAAGTTTCTCTTAACATGGGAAAAAGGCATACCTTAAAAGCCTAGTGAAAGGTTGAATTATATGAAAGTTGAATGTACATGAAGTAGGTTACCCTATCTCAAACTGATGTATATGAAGTAGGTTACCCTATCTCAAACTGATACTGTATTTATAATTCCAGGAAGAGATACTTGTGGCATTTTCTGCTTAGATGCCAAATCTATTTTGTCATGCTTCGGTATTTGAATCAACGGAACCGACTCACCAAATCTCCAGATTCAATGGGACTACTCACAGTGCAACTTTACTATGCTGAACAACAAAATTTCAGCCATTTTTCTTTACACAGCAAAGCACCTTGGGTGGATTACAAGAGAGGCCTCTCAACCTCAGTCTCCAAAGCCCACTTCCAGCAATGGTCACTTGTCATTGAGTGCTGGTGGGCAGCAACTGAGAGAGCTTTACAAACAAACATTTTCAGAGAGGCTAAACTGTACCACAACCAACGGATGGTACTATCAAATCAGGAAAGCTGCCAATAATAATTTGTAAAAAGCAATTTAGCTCCCCAGTATACCAGATCACCTCAGCATTTCTTTTGAGTTCCTCAGCCTCTGCTTCTGAGTATTCCATGTCTAGAACATCCTCATTCCCAGAGTCCTCATCAGAGCCAAGACTGTCCAGTAGAGAGCTGTTAAATTCTAAATAGCATGAAAAGGATACTGCGTAAGACCCTTGACCGCAGTCATAAAAATAAAGATGACCTTAATTAATAGCAAGGTAGATAACAAAACAGTTCAGTACAAATTTGGAATATTCTAGTATACTTTTTCTCAAGAAAAATAACAGGCATCAATAAAATTTATTGTATACACAAAAGCCCAGTAGATTTTCTTTGTATTCTACAGTACTTAGACTTAATATCTATAGAATGCAAGAAATATCAACTTTATGCAAAACCACTTTTTCTGACCAAAGATTTCCTTGACTGCTAGGGCTGCAGCTCTCCAATGCTGCTGGCCCCGGTTAAAGGCAGCATGTAACAACAGCGCTAGCACATCTCATCCCTTCACTCTTCCATCATGGCAAGTACTGTTCTCCATGAGCAAATTAACTGTTTGACCAAGGAAGATATATGCAGTTTTCTTTCAAGAAACAGGAAAGAGAGGTTACTTACCTGTAAGTCTGGTTCTTCGAGTGGTCATCTGTGAATTCACATTAATGGGTTAATCTGCGCTTGTGCAGAGGTTTCCAGAATCTCCTAGAGCTTAACACTAGTTCACCAGGACCACCCACCCAGTGCATGTGGTCCACCCATCCTGGCTAGTGCCTCAGTTTCCAAACTGCCCACTGCTGAATAAAATGAAACAAACAGAGGGGAGGACGGGTGGGAAGTGTGAATTCACAGATGACCACTCGAAGATCCAGACTTACAGGTAAGTAACCTCTCTTTCTTTTTCGTGGTCTCTGTGAATGCACACTAATGGGTGATTAACAAGCTTACCTGACCGGAGGAGGGACCTCATGGAAGAACAGACGACAGGACTACTCGTCCAAATGCAGCATCCGACTTAGCCCGGAGGTCCAAGCAGTAATGAGAGGCAAAGGTGGATGGCATGGACCACGTAGCAGCCCTGCAGATATCAGGGACAGAAACGCCTCTGAGGAATGCTGCTGAAGTAGCCACTGCCCTCGTAGAATGAGCCTTAATTCCAACTGGAAGAAGCTTCTTAGCCAGCTGATATGCCAGGTGAATGGTTGATACAAGCCACTTAAGAGATGGCTTGGGAGGAGATAAAGCATCCACTGTGTGGTAAGTGCAGAGAAACAAAAAGACTCTTGGATTTTCGGAAAGAGGTGGTCCTTGAAACATAGAAGGCCAGTGTTCACCTAAAGTCTAAGAGGTGGAGAGAACACTCCAAGTCAGTTACAGGTGATGGAAAAATGGTAGGTAAAATGATGGCTTGCTTAAGGTGGAACTCAGAAACAGCATTTGGAAGAAAAGAAACATTGGGATAAAGAGTGATCTTGTCTGGGTAAAATTGAAGAAAAGGAGGGTTGACTCTAAGCGCAGCAAATTCTGAGGCTCTACGAGAAGAAGTAATGGCCACAAGGAAGAGAGTCTTGTAGGCAAGAAGGAGATCAGACGCAGTGGCGAGAGGTTCAAAAGGCCGTGTCATTAGGCTTCATAGAACACTCTGTACTGACCACTGCGGAGGGAGGTGTGGTCTGGTGGGTTGTAGACTGGAGCCCCCCTTAAGAAACTGATTTATCGTACAGTCACGAAAGAGTGAAGATGCTTCAGAGTCACGTGGCTGATGAGCTACTATTTATCGTACGGTCACGAAAGAGTGAAGATGCTTCAGCGTCACGTGGCTGATGAGCTACTAGAGTGGAGAGACAGACCTTGGTAATAGACAAGGACAAAAGCTTGCTAAAGATGTGAGTAGAGAGACAGACCTTGGTAGTAGACAAGGACAAAAGCTTGCTAAAGATGTGAGTAAGGAATTGTAGCATTTTGTAAAGACTTGTAGGTGCAGCAGGGAGATGACGATCTAACATGGTGTGAAGAGTTGTAGGTGCAGCAGGGAGATGACGATCTACAAATTTAAGAAAAGCAGCCCATTTACAAGAGTACAGCTGTGTGGTAGCAGTTTTCCTAGCCCATGGTAGGATGGCAGCTATTGAGGGTGAATTCTCCACGCTGTTAGGTGGAGTGCGAGAAGATTTGGGTGGAAGGTTTGACCCCAATTCTGGGTGAGAAGGTGGGGTACTGGGGAGAGACGGATTAAGTCTGTGGAGATGGAGCGGAGCACGGTGAACCATGGCTGTCTCGGTCACCACAGGGCAATGAGGATTGCATTGGACCACTCCTGACACAGTTTTACAATAGTCCTTAGGAGCAGAGGGATATGAGGGAAGAGGTAAATAAGACCTGACATCCATGGTGTCACCAGAGTGTCTCTGATGCAGCTGGGGCCCATCCCTGCCATGGGGCAATAGAGTGGACATTTTGTGTTTTCTGTTGATGTGAAAAGGTCCATGTGTGCTTGTCCCCACAGAGTGGTTAGTTGACAAAAGATGGAGTCACTGAGGGACCATTCGTGTGTCTGTGAACTGAGTCTGCTGAGAGAGTCCACTATACGATTGTGGTGAGTGGAGATATGAACTGCTATTGGGAATATGTGGCGCTCGAGACACCACTTCCAGAGCTGGACGGTAAGGTAGAGCAAGGGAAGGGTGTGTGTCCCGCCCTGTTTGTTGAGATAAAATAGGGTTGTGGTGTTGTCGGTCGTAATTTGAATGGTGGTGCCGGTGATCAATGGTTCAAATCCACGGACAGCCTTGAAGATGGCTAGAAGTTCTAGGCTGTTTATGTGAAGTAATTTCTCGGAAGGAAACCATAGAGTGTGAAAGTGCAGTCCATTGCAATGAGCACCCCATCCGGTTGGGCTTGCATCAGTTGTTATCTGTATAGTAAGTTGGAGAGGTGCAAAGGGTCTGCCTATGAAAAGATTGGCTGGCATGTTCCACCACTGGAGCTGTGCTGCAAGTTCGGGTGTAACCCTCAATAACATGGAAGGTGGGTCCAACAAGGGACTGAAGAGGGACTGGTACCAAGCCTGAAACGAGTGCATCTCCAGGCAGGAATGTTGGATGACTGATGCTATAGATGCTCTGAGTCCAAGGAGGCACTGGGTCTGAAGTATGGTGACTAATGCATGTGGCTTGAAGTGCTGAAGGGCAGCATGGATCTTTGTAGCGTGGTTTTGGGGAAGGTAGGCTCAATTTGTGGGAATCTAGAACTGCGCCTATATAGTTCACCTGCAGTGAAGGTGTAAGAGTAGATTTGGCCCTGTTGACCTGTAATTCCAGGTTCTTGAGGAGGGAAAGAGTGAAATTCACGTCGCGTAGTGCTTGAAGATGGGAGGGGGCCATCAGTAGCCAGTCGTCAATGTATGGGAAGATGGAAATTCCCTGAGTGCGGAGATAGGCTGCTACTGGGGCCATGCACTTTGTGAAGACGTGAGCAGTAGAAAGGCCGAAGGGAAGGGCCTTGAATTGGTAGACAGTATTTTGGAGACAGAATCTGAGAAACTTTCTGTGATCCTGGCGTATATTGATGTGAAAACAGGCGTTGGTTAGGTTGATGACAGCAAACCAAACGTCGCCGTGGAGAAGAGGTAAGATGCATTTGAGAGTTAACCATGTGGAAACGTTGCTGAAAGATGTATTAATTTAGGTTCTGTAGGTCAAGGATGGGGCGGAGACCGCCATCTCTCTTGGGTACTGTGAAGTATCTGGAGAAAAACCCGAGGTCGCTGTCTGGTGAAGTGACGGGTGAAATAACATCTTTTGAGAGAAGGGATTGAACTTCTAGGCTGAGAACATGGGATGGTGGAGTGAGGACTCCCCTTGGAGGTGAGAGGACAGCGAATTCTACGGCGTAACCAGCAGCAATGATAGCGAGGACCCACTTGTCGGTGGTGATGGCAGCCCAGGATGAAAAATGGGCGGATGAGGATGTGGTAAGTGGAGTGGGGGAGACTGGGTGACTTGAAAGTCAAAGATTTTGCTTTGGTTTTTTGTCAGGTCGACGAAAGGACTAATGGGGACGTTTATGCTGAGTGGCATGGCGAGTCTGGAAAGTGGATGTAGCCTGTGGTAAGCACCTCTGTTTATCAGAAAAAGATCTGTATTGCTGGTAAGGATATGGGCGACACCACTGGTAGCGCTGGGGCCTGTAATAAGGTTGAGTATTGTAAGAACTTGCAGTTTTCCTCATTTTTTGGAGATTATCAATGATCTCATCAGTCCTGGTGTTGAAAAGGCCAACTCCATCAAATGGTAGATCTCAATCCCCATGCAAGAATCATCAGATATATGGGCTGAGCGGAACCAAGCATATCTTCGAAGGTAACAGCTGTGGCCATGTGCTTCGAAGCAGCTGCTATTATGTGCCTTGCTCTGGTGTATGATGTGCCTTTTGGGTCCACTTGCGTGGAGGTTGTGGATCAGTGATGGAAGCTGAATCTGACTGACACTCAGAGACAGAGGAACCTGAAGGGCTCGAATGATCATAACGAGGCAGTACCATAACCTCACCCAAGGTATTAGCCCACAAGGGGGACTGAGCCAAGAGAGGCGAAGGTGGTTGGCCTGAAGGTGGAGGCAAATAATTGTCATCTTCCACAGATATAGAATTGAGTCAAATAGTTCGCTGCTCTTGTAATGGGATGGAAGAGGTTGTCTTGTCCTTCTGGTGTTTGGAGGATTGAGAATCAGAGGATGATTTCTTAGGCTTCTTTCGTTTGGACTGTTTGTCCGGTACCGGAGGAGACTTTGGTACCGGTGTAGACTTTGGTGTTGAAGCACCCATGGTAAACTTAGTGATGGTCTTAGATTTATTCGATTTCGTTGAAGATGCAACCAAGGCTCCTGGGGAGACTGATTGAACCTGAGAAGGTGGTGCAGGTTCCATAGTTGGTATGGAACGAAGGGAACGTTCCCACAAATAAGACCATAGGCATTGCTGCCTTAGCTTAAGGGCCTGTTTTGTAAACTTTTTACAAAAAGGAAAAGAAGCTGGTTGGTGAGCTTTGCCCAAACAGAAAAGGCAGGAATCGTGGCTGTTGGTGAATGGAATTTTATTAGGGCACAAAGTGCACAGTTTAAACAGTCCAGAGGAGGCCATAAACAAAAAATAAAGGAAGGAATAACAACGACTCTCACTATCCAAAGATTTCTAATAAGAAAATTCCTTTTTCAATGCAGGAGGCGAACGCAGCTCATCTGAGAGAAGAAACCTCAGCAGCGGGCAGTTTGGGAAGTGAGGCACTAGCCAGGACGGGCGGACCATGTACACTAGGGGGCGTTTCTGGCGAATGAGTGTTAAACTCTAGAAGATTCTGGAAACCTCTGCGCAAGCACAGATTAACTCATTAGTCTGCATACACGGAGACCATGAAGAAGAAACTGTTAAAAGGGATTCTTGAGCAATATAACTTCAGAGTTATCAGGCAAAATTACCACTAAGTATCCTGAAGAATTCCATTGGGATCCTACTGTTGAATAATGAATTCTCACTTTGAGAAAAGTTTAAAAAATAACCAACAGATACACAGATTTCTTACTATTTGGCTATTCTGTGTAGATGACATAACCTCCAATGCATCTCAGCAAGTAAAATACACGGAGTCTAGAATTCCGAGTTAAAATTCTAAATTCTAGAAGTGACAAATCCAAGCTGTTAAAGTTTCACAAAACAGAAAATCTGTAGCTGACCTCTTTATGATTGTGGACTGGGAAACTATAGTCAGGACTAGTGGAATATCAAAGGACAATACATACTAGGGACATAATATAGCCAGTAAAAATAACAGACTGGAGGGAAAGAGAGCAACAGGCAACAGCCAACAGAGCACTCTACAATGTCTACAGTACTGCCAGCACTGCTACCGATCCCACTCTAATAGCAAAAATGTTATTAACCAATGTTTACACAAGTCTTTTGTAGCTTTTGCTATCTAACACCATGACATACAGTGGGGTCTTGACTTAACTGGAGGGAAAGAGAGCAACAGGCAACAGCCAACAGAGCACTCTACAATGTCTACAGTACTGCCAGCACTGCTACCGATCCCACTCTAATAGCAAAAATGTTATTAACCAATGTTTACACAAGTCTTTTGTAGAGCTTTTGCTATCTAACACCATGACATACCAGAATGCACATATACTATCACCATCACATAATGCAATTGTGCAAATGACTCAATTTATATGCTGTAACTCACAGGTTAACACACAGCTCTCTACAAGTAAGGTGATTTTCACCATTGTAGTATTAAAAAATCAAGATCATATTCAGAAATGTTAGACCCATTTATTTAAGAGCTATTCTTAACAGTGAATAACTGTATACGGTTCCAGCTTTTCTGAAAGCAAGGTACTGTAATTTAACAATAAAGTGGAACTGAATTCGGAATTTTACTCTTACAGAACATAGCTAAAATCCCATTGCTAGTCTCTAGTAAAGCAGAACCATCAAATCAATATGTTTTACATTAAGTGTTGGCTTTTTTGAAGTGCATGTCTACAAAGCCTGGATCTTGAATCCTCACTATGCCTCTCAGGAGAGGGGCCAGCCAAGATCACAGAGCATAACTGGGTTGTGTGCCTTGCTCCCTCTGTGTCCTCAGGCAACCTGCAACCCCCCCCCCGCCAAGATTGCAACTGGAAGAAGGAACTGGCAAAACCACTTCTGTACTATGCAATTAGAAAAACTCTTGGAGGGTCAACCATATGCCAGAACCGATGTGATTGAACACAATTATCACTGACTGACCATTCAGCAATTGATTCAATGGGTCTACTTTATTTCCAGCAAGTAGACTTATGCCAAGGAATTTAAACAGAAGGAAAATAAATACTGTATTTGCCAGCGTATAAAACAACTTTTTTGCCCTGAAAAACATGCCTCCAAGTGGGGGGTCGTCTTATACGCCAGGTGCGCTCCTTACTTCCTTCATCCTTTTCCTTTGGCCAACTACGTTACCCAGAAGGCTCAGAGAAGCTGAAAGCCGAGAACTACATTACCCGGAACAGTGTGCGGCAACCAAGCACTGTTGTGGTATTTGTGGGGTGATCCGAAGAGTTCGCAAAGCTATTCTTCCCCCCTCAACTTTCTTCTCACCAGTCTGTCCAGTTGGGTGTGTTAACGCCGGCTTCGGGTGCCCTGGGGCAAGTCTTCATCCCTCTATCCCTCCTTCTAACCAACGCAAGCCTCCTGGAGTTGCTCAGGCGCGGCGGCCCCGGCCGGTCTGCCCCACCGCGGCGGCGTCCATCCCTCCCAGCTTCTGACCCCTCGCTACTGTCACTTGGGCCCCAATCCACGACACGCCTCGCTATGGGGGGAGGGGGTAGTCTTATACGGTGAGTATATAACAAACTATATTTTGAGTGGAAATGTCGGGGCCGTCTTATACGCCGGCAAATACAGTAATACTAGCAAATAAATCCCACTGGGATTTCACACAACAGATGAAATACTGAATGTGGTATTTTCAGAGTTCATTAAGAAAATTAGCATTTATAATAAAGATGAAAGGACTAGAGCACAATATGCTAACAAGGCAGAGAACAAAACATCATACTTTTTAAATACTTTAAAGCAAAGAAAATATAATTATTAAAACATATCCCAATTTTCTACTGTATATCTTACCTTGCAGACTTAATTCAGTGGCTCGTTTAAGGTCATCATCCTCTTTTTGTTCCCGCGCCTCCTGCTGGGATAGAGAAACAATTTTAGTTCACAGAGATTCTTCCTGTCCTTTCTATAGGATCCCCATTCCGGATACTGGGACCAATGCAGCTCTAGTTTCTAAAACAAACCTAAACCTAATTCCTTGGCAGGAATGTCTGTGACTAGCGAGACATCAAATATTCCAACAGATAAACATTAATTAAAAGGCTGCTTCTGTTTCCTGAACTCAGTGTACAATGTACCATATTCCTAACATCACAATATGCCATTTCTATAAAATTTTACAGTGGTGCCTCGCTTAGCGATTGCTTTGTTTAACGACGAAATCGCTTAGTGGCGACTTTTTCAGAGCGTTTTTATGCTTCATTTAACAACGGTCCCTATGGGCAATTTTCTTTCAGAGCGTTTTTATGCTTCGTTTAACAACGGTCCCTATGGGCAATTTTCGCTTAGCGATGTCGGGACCATGCTTCGCATAGCGATTACATTTTGGGTCCCCTGTTTCGCTTAACAATGGTTTTGACAGCCCGGAGGTCATGCTTTGCTTGAATGACGTTTTAACGATCGCTGTTTTGCAATGCGACTGCCTCCAGGGTGTTTTTCCCTGTTATTGTTTTCTTTCAAATTTAAACAATCAGTACCCAGGATGCATTGTGCCTTGTGCAGGGAAGGTTTAAAAACCCTTCCCCACGCAGCCTGGCTTTACTTTTGCACGTGGAGTTCCAGGGCTGACTTCGTGAGGAGCAACTTTGGTTTCTTCTGGAGAACTTGGCTAGCAGAAGGTAAGTTTACATTTGTTCTCTTGTGTGGGTGGTGGGTTTTATTGCATAAGTCTTACAAGTATTTTTACAGTATTTTCTTATTTTGCGGTAAATTGCAGGGGTTTGTGCATGCCTTTTAAAAGTTTAAAAATTTTTACTGTACTGTACAGGTATTTTTATTTTCTTACTGTATTTTTGGAGTAAATTGCAGGGGCTTGTGCATGCCTTTTAAAAGTTTAAATTTTTTTACTGTACTGTACTGTACTGTACTGTATTTATTTATTTATTTAAATGTTTTAAATTGATTTTTAAAGATACCCAGCGAGGGAGTCACGTGAATCTCCGGAGGTAGGTTGTTCCAGAGGCGAGAAGCCACCGCCGAGAAGGCGCGATTTCTTGTCTTTTCCTTCCGGGCCTCCCTCGGTGTTAGGCTCCTCAGCCTCACCTCCTGGCTCGCACGAGTGACACAGGTAGATCTTGGTGGGAGTAGGCGTTCCGCTAGATATCGAGGCCCTAAACCGTTTAGGGCTTTGTACGTAAGCATCAACACTTTGAAGTCAATGCGGAACCGAATGGGCAACCAATGCAGTGCGGCCAGAGTGGGTGAAATGTGTTGGTATTTTTTCACTCCACTAAGTAGTCTGGCCGTTGCATTCTGCACCACCTGTTCAGTTTAAAAATGTTAAAAGTTTCTGTAATGTAATAATTACTGTACTGTACAGTACAATGTTAAAATGTTAAAAGTTTCTGTAACGTCCTTAAAAATTTATGTAATATTTCTTTATGTTTGTGCACTTTATGAAGACTTTCTGTATGTTGATGCACTTTCTAAAGAGTTTTGTACAATCCAATGTTCCTGCCTCATGTTTGCTGTTTTTAAAATGTTTTTCTGTTATTTATAAAGTTAAAGTTTATAAACTTAAAGTTTATGCCTCATGTCTGCTGTTTTTGAAATGTTTTTGTTATTTATAAAGCTAAAGTTTACTGTTTAAAATGTTTGAAATCATAAAGTGCACTTAATAAACCCTTTGTTAACCAAATTTGACTTTGTTCTGACTTTTTAAAAAATTTGTTGTATTTCCCCCCCCCCATTGAGATGCACTGAATAGGTTTCAATGCATTTCAATTGGGGAACCGTGTTTCGCTTAGTGATGTTTCCTATGGCGATTTACGCTTAAGGACGGCAATTTGTTCCTATTGGAACGGATTATCCTGTTTTCAATGCATTTCAATGGGAAACTGCGTTTCGCTTAGCGATGAAATCGCTTAGCAGCAATTTTGTTGGAATCAATTAACATCGTTAAGCGAGGCACCACTGTATTTTGAAAAGCCTGGAAATTAATACAAACCAAACCCCAATTACTGCCAACAAACATTTACCATCTGGAAAGATGCATCAACTCTCTCCTTGAGGTTAACAGAGGACACAAGTCTACATTTTCAGTGAGGAACCCTATAATATTTTCAAATAATTCTAGGAATATCAGTTGGAGCTGAATCAAAATACATTCAATGAATAAATGATCCGGACAACCAGATCCAGTCCCCCCTTCCAAACAGTGCAATTTATCAGGACCCTCTAGTAGGAATTTTTCCAAGGGATAGGACCAAAGCTGCATTGTGGTATACTAGCATAATTTGTATACATAGCACACATCATCAGAACACAATGCATTTCTCTGTGGATAATAAAAGAATGAATTTGGGATTCTGGGGGAGGAGCAAGCACTCCCACTTCTGTTTCATGGGCACATATTCAGGAAAGCAATCAAATATAGTGAACTGGATGAGGGATACTTTGGTGGGGTGCTACTTGGCATCCAAATCACTATCTGAGATGAAGTGTGTGGGGATGAAAGGCATGGCCTTTTAGGCAATAGTGCCTAGGATATGGGACTCCTTTGACCCAAAAGCACGGACGACAGGTTTAATTCTTCCTCTCTGACAGACATTTTAAAAAAGAGTCTTTTACCTACACAACCGGAGATGCTGTTACATATTATTTTCTATCACGAGAGAAGGCATCTCTGGCTGTTTGATTTCTAGTTCCTGAAGAGGGCACATTAGCTTTTACCTGTTCTTGGAGGCTCTGAGCCAAAGCCTGCTGTAGCTCCTGCTCCTCTCTCTCTCGCTCCATGTCATACTGCTGTAGCCAATCAACCTCCCCCTGATTGCCTTCTGGAGTTTTGTTCTCCTTGTTCTCATCAAAATCTTTAGTTATTTCAGTGAAGCTGGCAAAACCTATGGAAACAAAAACAGAACACTGATGTTTTAATATGAATTCTGGGAGGACGTGTGGGGAGGAGAGCAGTTCTCTTGAGAGTCATCAGCAAAGTCCTCTTCATGTTGCCCAGGATATCAGGAACAGAGTGACATCTGCTGGTTTGGAAGCATTCCAGGATGGATGTTATTTAAAGGGGGGGGGAGAGGAGGTGCTTTCAGCAAAGAGCAGTATTTTCCCACCCAACCAAGCATCTAAACTAAGGAGTAGGAAGTGTTCTATTTATAATTTAAAATATTTGGGCAGAATAAAATAGTACACAAATGGAGTCCTATTCACACAACACAGCTTTCTCCTCCTCTACTGCTCTGCCTAGAGACAGAGGGAGAAGGAAATTATATAAGATGGGGGAAAGTTGCTTTCAGGACCCTTCCCCAGATGCTACAAATAGCTATTCCACTGAAAGAAACACTTCTAAAATAGATGTCATCCACTAACCTATACCTTGATTAAAAATGATTTCCAGTCATGTTCCTATAGTGTGTAGTGTGTGATAAAGCTATCAACGTCATGTAAACATGTGTCTTTTTTGACTCGTGCCTTAACTCATTTATTTCATATGTTTAGTATCATTTATAGACCACTTCCTGCTGATGAGGGGAGTCAAGGCGGCTCACAATGTCAGAACAAGAATTAGAAACACAATGAAATATTTTAAAAGAATTAAACCATAATAATAATTAAAAATACATTAAAGGATTAAAAACATTTAAAACTTTAAAAAGCAAACTTACTGAGCTAAAAACCAGCATGCAGGATTCAATTATTAAAAGCCTATCTGAAAAGGAATTCATGCTGATTTCATTAATAATACAGGCAACCATTTTCAGACACAGGTGAAGCTACCATCAGCAACAGGGACTTCACCATATATTATAAAACACAAGTTGTTTTCACATAAAAGTATAATCCTTTTAATATGAGCATATTATAAAATAGTTTCAAAAGATTTTATCAAAACAGTATCTTATCTGACATAGGTAAATTTTTTGACACCCCTCCTCATCTCTGATATTTTGCAAAAACAAAGATGGAGCCTCTCACACTGCATGTAAATAGTGCCCCTAGAGGAGTGTTTCCCAACCTGGGAGTCATGAACCCCAAGAGGGTCACAAAGTGCTTTCTGGAGAGTGAGGGGGTTTTCCACCGGCCACCTTATATGAGTTGTAGCCCTTGTTTAATAATTTCTTCCTTGACCTTTCAGAGCAGGATATTAAAGTTAGGATGTATGTGTATGTACGAGAAGTATACTTTCTAAGGGATGACTTTACCCAATTAAAAATGCCTTTTTTTTTTACAAACGTGGGGGTGGGGGAGTTACAGGTTACTTGGCTATTATAAAGAGGGTCACGACTCGAAAAATGTTGGGAACCATTGCTCTAGAGGCATAGTTCTGCTGGCTCTTGGATGTGTGCAGGTCACTGAAATGATTGTAGATGTTGTCTTCCAGGGACATAAGAACATAAGAGTCCTGCTGAATCAGGCCAAGGGCCCATCTAGTCCAGCTCCCTGTAGCTCACAGTGGCCTCACCTGATACCCTGGGAAGCACACATGACAATTAGATCTCCTGATACCCCTCCCCTGCATTTGGCATTCTCAAGTACCTTCCTTTTAAGCCTGGAGATTATACATCCCCATCATGGCTTGTAACCTGCAATGGACTTTTCCTCCAGGAATCTGTCCAATCCCCTTTTAAAGGGATCTAGGCCAGATCCCATCATCACCACATCCTGTGGCAAGGAGTTCCAGAGACTAACAACATGCTGGGTAAAGAAATATTTTCTTTTGTCTGTTCTCACTCTCCCAACACTCAATTGGAGTGGCTGTCCCCTGGTTCTGGTATTGCGTGAGAGGGAAAAGAGCTTCCCTCCATCCACTTTATCCATTCCCTGCATCATTTTATACATCTCAATCATGTCCCCTCCCCTCAGGTGCCTCTTCTCTAGACTAAAGAGCCCCAAACGCTGTAGCCTTTCCTCATAAGGGAGGTGCCCCAGCCCAGTCACCATTTTAGTTGCTCTCTTCTGCATCTTTTCCAGTTCCACTATGTCTTTCTTAAGTGCGAGGACCAGAACTGTATGCAATATTCCAGGTGCAGCCTTACGAGGGAGATTCAGGACAAAGCATAAAAACAGCTCTTGATTACTGTGCAAATCCCCATCTATACCCTGAATGCTATCCTTGGAATTTCAAACTTCTGTAAACATCTTACCTGACTCTGTAACTATTTTGGGTTTCTCCACATCCATAGGTTCCACAGCTTCTGGCAAATCTTGCAACTCATCCTCTCCAAAGCCAGTATCTGGGCTATTGGTGGGCTTGTCTTCATCGTGGCTCAGTGACAGTGATGCCTCCCTTTTACTCATTTCCAAAACAGCTGCTAAAAGCTCGTCTTCACTCATCCCATCAAACCCAGCATTTGTCGACTCTGAAGCCTTATCACTCTCTGTTTTAATTTTCTTTGCGTTCTGCAAGTAAATAAAGACAAAATATGCTGGGAATACATAACTGAAGACATTCCTTCTTTAGGTTAACTATCGTGGAAGTAAAAATAAGCAAGGTGCTGTGAACACAGAAATCCAATGCAGCAGTATTCTGAGGCCTACAGCTACCACTGCCACTGCCAAGCTTTTATCTAAACCAATGGTCCCCAACTTTTGGGACCTCAGACCGGTTAGGGGGTGCGGGCTCCGTGTGTGTGCGTGGGAGGTGCGGGGGCACCCCCACGCTCATGGGTGGGCTTGTCATGCACTGGTGGGCATGTCACGCTTGCAGGGGCGTGTACCATGTTTGCGCGTGAGTGCGACATGCCGCTCCGCAAGTGGAACTTGCCCACTGTGTGTACGTGAATTGGGGCCAAGATCTGTCTCCGCGGCCCAGTTCCAGGAAGCCCAGGGACCAGCACCGGGCTGCGGACCGGGGGTTGGGGACCCCTGATCTAAACTACTACATCACCCTGAGCTTGTATAGTTTCAGAAGCTAAGAAAAGCTGACCCAAATTAGTACTTGGATAACAAATTCAGTGTGTGCTAGGGATCTCCAAGTATTCCCACAAAAATGCTCCCACTTAAAGGATGTCCTTTACAGCCCTGACTGCCAATCAGAGGCAACAATAATGGGCTAGATGGAATAATAGCCTGATTCAGGATAAGGCAGCCTCCTGAGGATACACAAAAAAGACGCACTCTTCATCTGCTGCACACACACTCACTACTACATTCACATGGTAAATACATTGCCTCTCTTTCCCTTTCCAGTACAAGCCCTGACCAATTTGTCACAATTATGACCCACTGCTGTATTTACACTGTAGTCTACAGCCCAGTTGCTATGGGAAAACCTTCACACACAGCAGCTCGAAGTAAAAGAAAGAGATATCGTTGGTTCTTGACAGGGATACTGTAAGACGTTATCCCATTTCGATTCTCTTTCTACATCCCTAAGAATGCTTAGGTAGTTTTTCATGGAGAGATTTTCAATCTGTGCAATAACTAAAGCATACATACAGACTGAAGCAGATGCAACACCTTGAAACTTACAGGGGAAAACCAAAGTAGTTTGAGTTTGACCAGGGGAGCATGAGAAATCAGTGATTTGCTCAAATCCCATACAGCCATAAGAGGTTGCCGAGCAGTCTCTCTCAGTTTCAGGATGTTACTGTAAAAATAAATTTTCTTACAAACTCGGTGATAGGACATTTCCTTGCCATACCTTGCTAAGGAAGCTAGTCAGTTTGAGAGAGTTTTAAAAAGCCCGAATGTACCAAAAAGAAGATGGCTAGTAAACTGGTAATCTCTTTTTACAGTTCCTCTTTTCGCTTCAGTGTTCCTTACTGATACTGCCCATGGCTATCCGCATATACAGTTTACATGTTTACAGACTCCCCCTCCTCCTGCAGGCCTCACTGCCAGCTTTGTAGGGCTGGACATCTGAGTAACAGAGCACGTACACCTTCTTCCACCAAGCTCATCTCCTTACTTTTTCTGGGTCCTCTTGTTGCTGTTCCCTATTTTGGAAATCACACTGTTTTTGACTATTTGCAACAGGGCGTTTCAGTGGCTCCTCTTCACTATCTGAATCCACAGAGTTGAGAATAGGACCTTTAAACTTAAAGGAGTACTTTCTGAAAAGTAAACACTGAACTTTAATTCATCACATTTTAAGAAAACCTTCAAAGTGACAAAAAGCATTGAAAAGATACACAAGGTATTCATGTAGCAGCTAGATGGACTAAACTATTTTAATCCCTATATTCTATGAATAAAATCAGTAATTAATTTAATTTTGTTTTAATTATGTTGCTTTCATGTCATGCATTTGTTTCTAAACCACCAAGAGTAACGATTGGTTAGATTGGTGGTATATAAATCAAAACAAATCAATAACCTACAGAAAACATTACAGTCTATTCAGCATCGAACTTTAGAAATTTATAACATGTTTTTAACATGTGTTTAGAATTCCTAAGGTGCTGCTCAAACTGGAGAAGCTCCTTCTGCCAGGCACTTTTATCACCATTTTCTAAGATCTGGTCCTAGCTGTGGTCTTAAAATGACCCTAAAACAACAATGTGACAATTCCAGTGCAATGCAAATCTGTGGATTAGAATAGCTTTGCTGAAGCTAGGAAGGGCTATAAGGGAGCATGAGGACATTCAGCTAATAAGTCATGGTTTGTCAGATCATAATTGTTTATTGGTTTAAAACATGATGCTTCTGGGGGGGGGGACTTAGTAAAACTTAAAATTTTAAAACAATTAGGCTAAAAGGTTTCAGCCCACTCCACATAAACTTGAATGTATAGAAAAATGTATAATGTAATTTTTAAAGGTTTGAAACTATATTATTACTCACCGACAAGGCGTAGAAGTGCTTACAGAACATGAATTCACCATTTGAGATACTTTCAACGGCCGAGAACTGCTTTACGGAAAAAAACAAACAGATTTCTATTATTACACATAAGAAAGCTTATCAGACCATCTTGATGGTGGCCTGAAACACTAGTCTTCAGCCAAATGAATATGACAAGAAGCCTTTAAATCAAACTAACAATGCAATGTACAGTACATAGAACACTGCAATCCCTACATGTTTTGCTATGGTACTTCCAAGATGCCAGAACTTCTTTATCCATATCTATACTTTATAATTATTTCCAATCCTGCGGAATACCCCCCAAAACATCCACAATTGCCTATTCTCAAGTACTACAGTAGTTCCTAGAACCTAGAGACAAGTGAACATGACCTGCATTTTCAGAATCAGCAACAGGGTGACCTTACTCAAAGGTCTTTATTTTAGGAAACCTTGGAAGCCTACATTTAATACCTAATTTATTTTCCTACATTATTACTAGAATAAAGAGAACTGCTTACATTGCTGATTGTGCACTCCAGCCCAGATTAAGTGGAGGCCTTGTGCTTTCTGTACTGTGAGACTGCAGGGTTAAAAACCTCGGTATAACTACTTGTTGTCCAACTTTGTGATTAAGGGAAAGTGCCACATTGAAGCTATACCGTTTCAGGTGAAGAATCAGGACCCTTCAAGACACAAGAAAAACTAGAAATAAATTCATTTCCACATAAACATAAAAACTTCCTTCTCTATCACAACTATAACCTCCTGAACACCCAAGACATCCTGAACTCTTTTTCTGCCCTGTTCTGAATAGCTAACAAAGGTATTTGGATTAAAAGCCTCATGTGCTCCAAGAAAATGAATATGTAGCGTTAGAGCTACCTTGCTTGTCCACAATGGATTGTTCCCATCTACAATGGATGAGAAGCCACTTATTGAAGGAAACCATCCTTCTAACTATGGCACACGGATTCTAAATCCAATTCTACAATTTTCAACTAACTTCCAAGTATGCTAGTTTTTCTCTAGAAATTTTTGCTGAACACATTTTGCCTTTCAGCCAAACAGGAAGGATATAAACATTTTCAAGACCATTTACTGAGCTTCTACTCCCCAATGTAACACTAGTTTGTTCTCATTTTAAAACCAAATAAAGACAACCACTTCAAGATCAGTATCAAAGGGAGAAAAAAAAACACCTTCTCAATCATCTTCTACATATCCTGAATGCTGTTAGTACCGTTATGCAATTTTGTTCTGAAATCATGTACTTACCTGGGAAACCGACTGAACTTGTGTGTAACAAGAGCAGATTTTCCACTGCACTTTTCACAAGAATATTCAATTTCCTCTGCCTTAGAGATACAATAAATACAGTAGTCATTAACTTCTAACTTTTTTTAAACCAGGAAGCTTTGACTTCGTTCAAATTGCAAAACTAAATGGGCTACATCCAATGACATGAAACTAAAACCCCTTTCCCCTCCCTCCCTCATCCCCACACGCTCCAAGAGATTGTGTGACCTTCTGAAACACATAGCTGAGGTTTGTGTTTACAGAGATATCCATTCCACTCACAATCACATGCCATTAGATACATTCAAAATGATAATATTTACTGCATAAAAGGCCAAGAAATGATACTACAGAAAATTGGCTTTTCAATATTTGTTTTTAAATCTGTTTTTACATGTGTGCTTTAGTATCACTATGTTTAATAGCTATTTAGTGGCTTATGTGTTTTGTTTTAATTCCTGTCTGTTTTAATGATGCTGTGGGCACCTCAAACACCTTCATTGGGAGAAAGGCAACATAAAAATGCAATAAATACATAAAACAGAGTAAGCAGAAAAGCCATATTCTTCACATCCATTACAGTGCAATTACTACTCCTATGGTCTCAACTTTATGGGTCCTGATGTCTGATGAGAAAATGACCAAGAAACGGAACCACCGTAAAAAATAATTTTGTTCCAGGACCATTCAGTTTAGAGTGCAGTTCACTAAGTGTTTGCACAAGGGTTCCGCTTTTTCAAAGGAGCCTACCCTCAAGTAAGGATGCATAGTACCAGCACACAGATTTTTATACTGAGGGCGGATACTGTTTGTGTTCCATGTTGATTAGACTACTGGGTGGTACATTAATTGCTTTCAGCTTCCAAAAATGCTGCATAAAAACCAAACAAAGACTCTTAATTTTGAATCAGAGAAGTCTGGAGTTCCAATAATTGGTTCAACCATGGCCAAGCACCCTGAACATCAGTGTGAAGCCGAAAATGAATAGCATAAAAGAATGTAACTCTTTGTCCTTCTTTCCCCTTGTGTTCTCGTTCCTAATTTACTTCTAGGTTCTACAATATTTAGGAGTGCCTTTCTATCTCCCAATGGTATCCTAACACAAGGCCCATAAGTGGTTTGTTCTGGTGCTCCTGGCCAAGAACAGCTTCCTTTTCTTCAACAGTTGCAAGTAGGTTTATTTTGGGCCCTTCCCTCATGTTTGCCAGCTCAATCTCCATTCATATTTAAGAGGCCTTTATTGCACAATTAGGAACTCCAGACTGGAGAGATCTATTTTTGAGGCTTGCCAACTAGTGTCAGCGCAGCACCTGACTATATGATTATCACTTCATAGAATAAAGAGCTTTGGGGGGCTTCATCATAAGCTGAACACAAAAAGCTGTCCAAAGTTAAATCTGTTCGTGGAAATCTATCTTATTTCTCTTAACTAGACAAGCTTTTAAATTTGTTTATCATTTGCATCCAATGTTATAATTAGACAAAAAATATAGTTTATACCAAGAACAATCTTCAGAACATCTTCAATGTCAAAAAAGGAGGAATTCTGACAGTAAAATATACTCTAAATAATAAGTATATCACATACCCTGAAAAAGAGATCTAATGAATCTTGGATTGATCGAGATGGAAGAAGTTTTTTTCTTCGTGGCAAATCAATGGAAAGGTCATTGAACTGTTCTCGTTTGGTGACTGTTTCACCACACCTGCATTAGAAAGAAAAGTCCTTGTGTATTTTATTTTATTCACAGAATAAGAATTTTAAACCTTGTATGATACATATTTAGTATCAACAACCACGAATCTGAATTGGACACATTATCAAAGCCAAGAATGTTATTAAAGAGGAAATGTCTTGGGAAATTCTTTTTAAAAAGACGTCTCTTTACAGAAAAAGTTGAGTCCCATGATCCCATTCCAAGTGTGTTATGGCTTTTTATTCAATGAAGGCTCTGCACCAGATGGGGGGAGAATAATATTTTTCCTGATTTCAGCTTCCTCCCTGAATTTTTCATCCTGCCTAACATTTTCTGTTAAAAGTTTCCCCAACTCCCTGGAACAGCTCTTTCAGGGTTGATATTGAAATTTTATTTTTCATTTCCCTGACTTTCCCTGACCAATATTTGTCAATTCCCTGACCACCATTCAAATATAACCACAAGTTTAAAAAATGAACAGGTCATGATGCATTAATGCAAGTCTTAATGAAATGTTCCTCTACAACAGACCTGGGCAAAGTGGGGCACGAGCCGCTCCTGTCCAGCCCGCGGACAGTTTTGAACATCAAAGCCATTTATAGCTTTTTGTCTAAAGTTGATCAGTTGCTTATCTTTAACATATCGCAAAAAATCTTTTTAGTATTTGTCAAGATTAACAAGTTTAAAATAAAAACAATCATAACATCACTGTTTCGTTTTATTTTTAAGTAAAGTTCGTTCAGCCCCCGAACACAGTTCCGATTTTTCATGTGGCCCCCCCACAGAAATTAATTGCCCACCCCTGCTCTACAACTACACAACTCTCAGCTTGATATTTGTCAAAGTAAAATATTTAATATCAGCTTCCTTCAACATTAGCTGCAACAACATCCATTTTGCAACTGCACCAAAAACTACACCAAGATACAAACTTCAATTCAAGTAAACTGATTGCTAACAAATGGCATAACATTTTTGTTATTGTTTTAAAGGTATACTAAAAATTATATAAATGTTCTATCTAAAATAGTTTCTCTGAAGCCACCTTACAAAACTTAGTTTTGAAACTGGAGTAATAACCAAGTTAGAAATTAGAATACAGTGGTGCCTTGCATAACGAGTGCACCGTTTAACGATGAATCCACATAGCGATGCGGATTTTGCGATCGCTAATGTGATCGCATACCGATGTTTCTTCGCACTGCGATGGGGGAACAGCTGTTCGGCACCACCAGAACACCCAAAATGGCCGCCGGAACACCCGAAATGGCCACCAGAACACCCAAAATGGCCGTGGCCAGATGGGGAAACATCGCACAACGGTGAGTTTTGGGCCCATTTGGAACGCATTAAACGAAGTTTAGCAATGTTTCCCCATAGCGAAGGTTAATCCGGAACGGATTAACCTCGCTATGTGGGGCACCACTGTATAAGCAATCTGTTTTTTAAAAAATAAAGATTTAAGATATAAAACTAGCACTTCTACAGTTTTCTCTTTTCATTTTGTAACTCTAAGTTTCTCATTGTTTCCTCTTCCATTTTAGCTATTTTTTAGCATTTTTAAGATGTTTAATTTGTCCCCCAAGTTTCTTCTTTTCTTCTGAATTTCTTCTTGTTGCTTATGGTGTTTGGCCTCCAAGTGCTCTGTGTAGCATACTGAGCATGCCTGAGTGACTGCAACAGATTCAAATCAATTACAACAGATGCAAGTCCTCCACAGTTCAAGAAAGCATTTAAATCTGACGTTGACAGAAAACAGTTTCTTCATCAACGTTCTCAATTAACATTGACTTATTAACTGAAAATCCACTTTCAACAGAAGTGTTACCATGAGATAGGATAAAGCACATTTTGACAACAGTCCACAGATCTGAGAAACTTTTGTTGGACATCAAAATACCACTGTAAAACATATCCAGTCCAACTTCATCATTTGGTTTTGCAACATATGCTTCAAACTGAGCCTTGAGCTCATTGTGGGCAGCTGTGGTTGAAGACAGTGGTGCCTCGCTTGATGAGGATAATTCGTTCTGTTCAAATTGCTGTTATGCGAAATCCTCATCAAGCGAAACGAAAAAGCCAATTGAAATGCACTGAAAACCGGTTCAATGCGTTCCAATGGGAGAAATATTTCAGTGTCCAGCGGAAATCCTCCATAGGGCAGCCATTTTTGGTGCCTGTAAAGCGACAAATCCGTCCTCAAACACAGCAGGGAACCATTTTAAACAGTGTACGGCCATTTTGAAGACCCGACGATCAGCTGTAAAGATCGTCGTCAAGCGAAAAATCAGTTCCCAAAGCAGGAAACCGATCGTCGTTAAGCGATTTTTGCCTATTAAAACATCATTTTGTGATTGCAAAAACTTCATTGTCAAGCAATTTCCTCGTCTAACGAGGTAATCATCAAGCGAGGCACCACTGTACTGGACTATTGCATTGGTTTTTCCACTACTGTGTCATTGATCTGATTTACTGCCTGTAGAGCTTCAAGAACAGCCCCTATTCTGGTGATTCCAAGATTTAGCTTGTATAAAATGACAGTAGGATCTAATGCCACACATCATCTTGAACTTCAAAGGACTTATCTCAATCAACTTTTCAACAACAGCTACTATCATATTTCGACACTCTTTGCAAACTTGACATTCACTCAGTTTAGTTCTTTCAACAGCTTCTTTGCTGCAAAGCCAAGGTTAACCTTGCTTCTGTCAAGCAAGTTCTCAAACAATTTCATGTCAATGGTTGACAGCTGGGAATCAGAAGACATGTATTGCACCTTTCCCGATTTCATGCAACGACTTGTTCACTTCTTGATTACTTTACAAAGTTCTTCATACAAAAAAAGGTGCCAATAGTTTTTGGTTTTGAAATCTAATGGCTCACAATCTCCAGCAATCTTTTTCATGAAAGCTATTTTGCACTTCATGAGTGGATCTTGTACTGCAGCTTTTATACAAATTGCAGGTTTACTGTGGGGGAGTTTTGCTTCTTCCACATACTTCTAGATGTTGTCAAAAACAGTCATAGCTCTATCAAGGCACTTAACATTCTCCCACCACCTAGTGGAGCAAAACTTCAGGGGAAACAGTGTGCTTCCAGTCATAGCAGTGTATGATGCTCTCCTAGCTGGGGAATCTTTGAACAGATCGTACATGTTGTGCAAGACTGAATTCAGTTCCCATTTCATTGCTTGTAATCCTGTTTAAAAAGACCCATGTACAACATGAGGGGTAGAAGTTCCAAAATCAATCAATTCTTTTCCTTTTCCTTTACAGTCAATGTTGGTTTTAATTTCTTCAGTTTTCTCAGAAAAAAAGATGATTTACATTTGGCACATCCACAGATACCTGTAATAATTTTGCAACTGATAAATAAGAAATGCCTTATTGAAACTTCTGAAGAACATTTTCAGCAGGAGCAGTCTGAAGAAAAACAATGAATAGATACCATGTGGAAACTTCATGACAGTAATCATCCCAAAAATGAACTACTAAATCCATCTGTCCCTTTTGAACCACCTTATTCAAAGCTTCATCAAAATAGGTAACAAATGTTTGCCATTATTCCAGCTGTTTCAGTAAAAGATCAGAGAAATATGATGCCAAGCCAAAAGCAACAACACATCGCTTTGGTTTTTCCAAGATGAAACTGTTGAGCTATCTGAGAACATTCACTTGAATAACTCACTGATGTTGTTACAAGAGTTCAATGACATCTTCATCACGTTGCAAAGCCCACAGGCACTCTGCTATCCTAACACAGTCCTTGATTACACAGGAAGCCATAATGGTTGATGTGGCGGGAAATTCTTTGCCATTTTCATCACTGATAATGTTTTCCAGTTTTACTATCTAAACTTGTACTTGACTTTGAACCTAAATATATTGTGATCGACTGTCGACTGTGGACTTGATATAATTTTCAGGTTCTTCTGATGGAATGGTCCTTGTGCATGAGACTCCACAGCTATAATTCCTACATTAGTTCAAAGGTTTTGTAGCACACTTTACAATAACCTCTGCATTTGTCTCCAGCAACTGTTGATAGCCATGGAACGGAGTCAGGATGAAGTTTGAAATCCAGTCACTGCATATTAAAAACTGTTCTCTGAAGTCATCTTCAAAATGTAGTTTCAGATACAGCCGTACACAGAAGCACCTGCCTGACACCAAGATGTTAGCAGATTTGTTTTCTGGCAAGTAGGAAGTTTCCAAAGCTGGGAAAGTTTCAATTTCACTTTCTGGCTCCAGAAAGAGTAATGAGCAGATCAGCAGCAAGAAAGGAGGTGGAGTTTAAATGCTTGCAAATCATTTCTGCAATCTAGAGAAGCAGACAACTCTAGTTTGCAATCTTTGTGCATGGGAAAAGTCAGGGAAGAGGGTGAGAGAGCTGGTATTCTATAAACTCCAGCAGGAACAAGCAATCACATTTGAAAAATTTATTTGCATGGTGCAGAGTAGAAAGTGCTAGCTGACTATAAAATCCAACAACAGCAAAACTCATTTGCAACTCCGTGCTGGGTTTAGCAGAAAACAAAACGTCCATTCCATATATAAGCATGACCCCAAAACATGCTTATCTTTATATGTAAATTAAATTCAGTACTAAGCAGGTAGGGATGAAAACAGTTGGATTTTTAAAGTTTGTATCCTGCAAAATGTTTAAAATAGCCTTGCTTTGCAAATGCTACAGGCAGACCTTGAAAATCATGCAGGGATTGAGCTCAACAAACACATGAGGCTGGTTGCTGGGGGTGGAGCGGAGAAAAAGGTGGAGCTGGGAAAGAGCATCATTAAGTTTTACTTGTATTCTGCTAATACTCTATTCCAGTTGCCACAAGAACAAACCATGCTCTTGCAGCAGCAGGTCAAACATTCACTGCTTCAATATATTTTAATCACCATTTCCCTGACTTTCCGTGACCAATTTCTATTTCCTTTCCAGAAAGTAGCAACCCTGTGCAGGTTGGAATCTGAGAAATTTGCTCCTTCTCATCTCTCTAAGGCAGGGGTCTCAAACTCAATTTACCTGAAGGCCATTGGAGGCAGAGGCTGGGTGAGGCTGGGCTGCATCAGATTTTCTGCCAAGCAGAGCAAGAGCCCAAGGAAGCCACCCAGGAGGTTCCTTAGCCCAGCTGGGGCTCCAAGGAGAAGGAGGGGCACGCGAGCCCTCATCCCCGCCCACAACCCCCTTTGGCTCCTTCTTCACTACCACGAGCAGCAGCAGCAGGACGAAGAAGCAGAGAAGGGAGGGAGCACCAATGACCGCCTAGACAGGGGGGAGGGCATGACATAAGATTTTTAAAAACCCTCCCAGAATCGCCTTGCCAAAGGAGAAAAGCCCCCATCGGTACCTGCGAAACTAAACAGAACAGGGTGCCCCCCCCAGTTGTGCGCACAGACACACGGAGGTCTGGCAACATTCCTCTGGAGGATGCCCTCAAAAAAAAGGCGCACTCAGCAGCAGCAGCTACCCCCACCACAACAGGGGAACAAACTTTGTGAGGCGAGCCCAGGCAGCCTCAAGCCGAGGTAGCTGAAGCAGGATGAAGAGGAGGAAGAGGAAGCACCGCCGGGCGCTGAAGCGGCCGCTGGCCGGGCTGGTGCTGCCGAGAAAGAGAGCCAGAGAACCACTCAGTGGCGGCTCGCGTGCTCAGGGAAAAAGGGCCAGCAGCATGCCTCACTCGCCGTCTCTCCCCCTAGACAGCGCCTCTTGCAC